TCCCGACATGGCGACCACCAGCCAGCCAACAGCGCCCCCTGCCGGCTGGCACAGGCACTGCAGGCCCTGCATCGCCGTGACCCAACAGCGCCCTCCGCGGGCTGTGCTTAGAACTGCACCAAAGGGCACAACATGAACTCGCTACCTTTTTATTTGTTTGTTTGTTTTCAAGGGGATTATTTTTGGATAGAGGATTGTTGTTTGGTTGTTTTATTTGTGTTCTTTCGTTGTTTCTGCCAATACACTTTTATTTATCTTTTAACAAAGGGATGTTATTCTTCCTTTTCCCACATTTTTTTCTCAGTCGGAGCATCTTTATTTTGGATTTACAACTGCTTGGATTTACAACTGCTTAGAGGGTGGAGTTTGGGTCTTACTCGTAACTCATCCTCAGCAAAACACTCGTATCTCATTTCAACTGCGACACTAGGAAAGCATAGACTCATTTAGGTTGGAAAGGACCTTTAGGGTCATGGACTCCAACCTTTCACCCTGCCCAGGCCACCACTAAACCGTGTCCCTAAAAGCCACATCTTCAGGTCTTTCGAGTGCCTCCAGGAATGGGGACTCCACCACTGCCCTGGGCAGCCTCTTCCAATGTTTGATAACCCTTTGGTGAAGAAATTTTTCCTAATATCAAACCTAACCCTCCCCTGGCGCAACTTGAGGCCATTTCCTCAAATTTTAATACAATTTTGAAAATTCGTGGAGCTCTTTAAGTTCTTCAGGTAAACACTTTAGTCCACTGCTTGGACGGACTCTGTGGTTTATCACATCCAGTGTAACAAGCCCAAAATGCATTTGACACATCACTGTTTGGGTGAAGGTGATCTCCTGTGTGTGTCCACTATAAAGTCAAAGGAGATCCTTGCAAAGCTCTGTGAATTTACCTCGAGGGAGCTTGCAAGCCTGAAACACAGAGGCAGTAACAAAACTAGAGGAACAGTCTCTGAGGGACCTGTCCTTTGTCAGCTTACTTACTCTTTTTCCTTCAAGTATTTGTGGTTCTGTAACATCCTCTTGCACCAAGATTCACAATGTATTTGTACACTGCTTATTAATGCAGTATTTGTCTCACCCTGATCATATTCACGTGGTCCTGATATATTTTTAACCTTTGAGGTTGAATCCCATTGCTAATATCGATTTCCTTTCTCTGGAACACATTTTTAGATAGAATGTGCCATTTTGAGCTATAAAGTGCTGTGCCTAGGATTTCAGAATGACTTTACAGAACCAGTTTCATATTAGCTCCCTAAGATTTAAAACACTGTTTCAGGGCTGACCTGCAAGTTCATGACACAGAGCAGCTCTTACCTGTTTTGTCTGCAGTGCTATTCTCTCTTAAAAAAATCTGGGGTTTGCGATTTTTTCCTCATGTTCCCTTCCTCTCTGAGTTTCCTTTGAGTGTCACTTGAACTGCTTGATTAACAGTCTTAATAGCCCAATTAATAGTTTTAAAACAAGAAATAGCTTTTTTTTTTAGGAGTCGTAATCACAAGCCAAGTCCCGTCAATCCCAGGGGAACAAAGTGTTCACCCTGAGGCGGCATCGGCCCCGCACAGGCGGTACCTGAGGGGGCCTGTGGGGCCGAGGGGTCCCGGGTACAGCCGGGGGCTGCTGAGGAGCCGGGGACAGGACTGTGCCCGCGGGTGAGGGTCCGGGAGCAGGGGCAGGGCGGTGTGGGTGGCACAGGACGGTGCCCGCGGGTGAGGGGCCGATCGCGGTGCCGGGGACAGGGCCGGGACGGAGCCGCGGCCGCTCGTTCCCTCACGCTTCGGCTGCGCGAGCCGCGGCTGTGGCGGCGCGTGCGCGGCGCCGCGAGGGGGCGCCTCACGCCTCCGCGCGGCCCCGCCGCGGCGCGAGAGCGGCCCTGTCCCCCCCGCTGCCCCAGCCCGGCCCGGGGCCGCGGCTCCCTCCGTGCCCGGCACCGGCACCACCGCAGCCGCTCCGGCCCGCACGCCCCGCCAGCCCCGGCAGGCTGCGGGCCGCGCTCCGCCCCGTCACCTGACTGCCGGAGGCGCGCCGCGCTGGGTCACGCCGCGCTCAGCGCCCCCTCCCCGCGCTGCGCCGCGCTCCGCTTCCCTCCCCTCCCGCCGGTTGAGGGGCCGCCTCCGCCATGGTGCTGGAGTCGGTGGTGGCGGATCTGCTGAACCGCTTCCTGGGCGACTATGTGGAGAACCTGAACAAGTCCCAGCTCAAGCTGGGTATATGGGGCGGTAAGTAGCCCCTTCCCGCCGCCGCCCCGTTCTCGTGGGGCCGCTGCTGTCACCGGGGGCGGGGAGCGCGTCTCGCTGGCCGTGGTTTCCCCGTGAGGGGTTCGCCGGCCGCGGCGCCGCTGTCCGCTCTGAGGGGCGGGCGGTGGGTTTGCGGCCCCCTGTGAGGAGAGGGTGAGGTGCGGGGCCGCGGCCCGCGGGGAGGGGCGGGCGGTGTGTGGGTCCGAGGTTCCCCATGAGGGGCGGTTGGTGTGTTGTTCCCCCGTGAGGGGCGGTTGGTGTGTTGTTCCCCCCGTGAGGGGCGGTCGGTGCGTGTTCCCCCGTGAGGGGCGGTCGGTGTGGTGTTCCCCCGTGAGGGGCGGTCGGTGTGTTGTTCCCCCGTGAGGGGCTCGGTCCACGTTCCCCCGCGAGGGGCGGTCGGTGTGTTGTTCCCCCGTGAGGGGCTCGGTCCACGATCCCCCGTGAGGGGCTCGGTCCACGATCCCCCGTGAGGGGCGGTCGGTGTGTTGTTCCCCCGTGAGGGGCGGTCGGTGTGTTGTTCCCCCGTGAGAGGCTCGGTCCACGTTCCCCCGTGAGGGGCTCGGTCCACGTTCCCCCGTGAGGGGCGGTCTGTGCCCTCAGGCGGCCGGTTCCCCTGGCGGGTCGGCGGTCGCTGTGAGCCCGCGGACTCTGCCCCCTCCCTCGGTCGGGCTGTGGGGCGCTCGGCCGCGGAACTCTGAAGGAGGAAACCGTTCGCAGCGATAACCCCTCCACGTCTTTCCTTCTCTCTCCCGCCGTGCTGGCTGGGAGCACGAGGGTGCTGCTGGGGTGCTCCGCTTCGTGCCCGGGGTGTCGGTGCAGCCCCTGGGCCGCTCGGGGTGCCGCGTCTCCCGCCCGCTCGTCTGTGGTGTAAATAAAGAAGGCGTGCGGAGCCGCCGGGACAGCGCAGTGCGAGCCCCTGTATCAAACATTTCAGCTCGCTACTCTGTAGCCATGTAAAAACCAGCCGAAGTGCTGCCTGGAGGAGCTGGCTCGGCTTGGGTGCCTCCCGCGGGCAGGGGATGAGACTTTTCTCGTGACCTTATTTGTGCTCTTGCCATGTATTGCTAGTATTTTAACATTTGTGCAATATTAATACCTATATTTAAAATGGATTATAGCTCTAAGGAATCTGGCATTAAAGCACTAAGAGGTATATTACATGTGCTCTCCACGGGTATAATTCTGGGCCAGTGTTTCCTATGGGAATCCAATTATGTTTGCTACGTCAGAAAAAGTTAATGTGTTTGTGTAAACAGGCATGTGTTTTTGTGGCTCTCTGATTCATGGTTTTTTGTTATGTGAAATCATGAAAAACAAGATACAATTTTCCAAGCCTGTCCTGCATTGATAGAGTTGTAACGATCGTTCACAACTATGTGAATAGTAAGAACAACTTTCTGTTATTGTGGGTATATTTAGTAGAGAGGAAACATGCAGACATCTAAGTTGGTGATATTTTTGTCTATTATCAGTGTTTATGACTGATAAAAATCACACATCTACTATACTATTCTGTAACTGCAATAAGCTTTTCAGATTTTGTTTATGTATACTTGGGAGGGTCGTAGTTGTGTTCCTTGTTCCAACTTACACATTACATACAATACTTACACATTACCCATGTTCTGTTTTTATCTCTATTTTTTCTAAACAGGTAATGTGGCACTTGACAATTTACAGATCAAAGAGAATGCATTAGTAAGTAATAACTTTAAAATTTTTTTATGGGTCTAAAGACTTAAGTTGTAGGATAAAATATCGCTTGCTACAGCATGACAAAAGCATACACAGTGCCCTTTTTTACTGGTTATTGGAAGTAAGTTCTTGGTTCACTGCTTCCAATTTTTCTCATGTTACTGGAACAGAGAAGAACAGAAGCCATGGTTGAAAAACAAGAAGTAGCTTTCATTAAGTACACATGTTGTTGTCTGGTAAAACAAATGGCTTGGCTGATTTTCATGTTCTTTAATTGAGCTAATGAACACCTGCATTGCTGAGAGAATCCCCCTCCAATCCTTACTGTGCTTCAAGCTTCTCTGAAGAGAACTGTTACTCTTCTGTGCATTGAAAACACACTGGATCTTTGTATGATCTAATAATTGCTTTCCCTTCTGAAGTTTCACTTTTACTTGCCCATTTCATCCCTTCCTGATAACTTTGTGGTACTTTAAAAAACTCTCGCTACAAATATCTTCATAAAGTAGTAGATAAAAAAAGGAAGGAAGTGTTGGCTGCTTCGTACACCCAGTCCTTCTTCTGGGGATTGATTAAGATTCCAGCAGTTCTGAATTAGAAAAATGCAAAGTCACTTGTGTGTCTGACCAGAGCTGAGAGTGTGCCAAGACAAATTCAGGAACTTAAAACAAGGGATGTTTCCGGTGGCTTTACATTTGCAGTGTGTTGGATTTCTATGCAAAAGGAATTAAAGGAAGGCCAGTATTTTATGCCATTTTTAGAGAAGTAGCCTACACCTTCTTGAAAAAGAAGGGATTAAAGGAATGTGATGTGGTCCAACTTTTTCTCTTTTTTTCCCCTAATTTGCATGTCTGCTGCTGTCTGGATTTTTTTGTCCTCTTAAGATTTTCCCCCAGAAAAAAAGTAGCTTTCCATTTCTGTATGTAGACACAAGCTTATCTTTAAAATACATGGATCTGTTTAATACTTTTTTTTTTTTATTATTTACAGAGTGAACTGGATGTACCCTTTAGAGTAAAAGTTGGTCAGATAGGTAAGTTTTAGTTCTAATGTAAGTATTGAAATGAAAATTTTAATACAGGCTTTAGGGTCAGTCCTGCCCCATAATTTCTTTGATGAAGCTTTCTGAAGCGTAGTTGTGCTCACTCCTGAAACTACCACAGAAGTTCAGTGTGACTGCCCTGGATGTTATCTGGCAAACCCTGTTTGTGTAATTTTACAGGTTGGTATGAAAAACACGCCTGAGAGGTTCTTCCTGGACTCAGGAATGATCGAGGGAGCTGTTTAGTATAGACATGGCGTGTGTGGCTCTTTAAAGGAGTGATTATATATATATATATATATGAGGATTATATATATATATACACACACAACATATATTATATATATATGAGGAGTTTAAGTAAGATTCCTGAACCTGACAGATATGCGAAAGGTTTAGCAACTCTTAGTTAGATGGTTTTTCGAAGAATTTCTTTCCTTGGTGGTCAGCATTGCTTTTTCACATGCAACTATTGTTGGAGATGTATATATGTTGCATTTTTTCTTCTGCTTCCCTGGGAAAATCATGTTCATCCCAGTGAATTGAACTCTAGTCACGATCTCAGGTTTTGATATGAAATATTCTGACTCAAACTGCAACTTTTTGCTCAAAACTATGGCTTATGTTTCCTCTGCATGCGTTTTATCCCTTCAAGGGCTTTATAAAATGTCCAGGCCCCCCTGTTTTCTCCTTACCTTCCAAGGTGTTCAGGACACTGGGATATTGGGCTAATCCTCTTCAGTGCCTGAGGGGTTATTTGGACTAAGCACGGTGGATTTTGGTTTTGATGTGATTTTATCTGCTTTGTTTAGATAAACTTACTCTGAAGATTCCTTGGAAGAATCTCTATGGAGAGGCAGTTGTTGCAACTCTAGAAGGCTTGTATCTTCTGATAGTCCCTGGAGCAAGTATGTGCACTCTTCTACAACAGTTAAATAATGGGAAAGGGAAATCTCTCAGGGTGCCATGTAAATGGGTATAGAACAGCAAGTACCTCGTGTAAGCTACCACTTCTACATTCCCCTCAGGGAAGTTTCTAGGCAAATATTGACAAGTGAGCAGACAAGGGTGGGAGAAAGCAGCACCTGTTGCTTTTATGGAGATCCTTGATTGTATCCATTCCAAGTTCAATTCAACAGCCAAGTTTTCTCTAAAATGTGTTTATCCTGAATCCAGTTTTCTGATGTGGTTTAGAGCTTTGGCTGTTGCATGATGGAGTTTATCATGGTGGAGGCAACAGCTGAAAGTAGTAATTCCATTAGTATTGTTTTTAGGGGGAGGGAAGAGGGTCAGAGGACTTGATTAGTTTTCTCTGAAATCAGAACCCCTGGTATGTTTGAGACAACTTGCAAGTTTGTACAATGTCAAATAGATGTGTAGTAGAACTTACAAACCTGGGCTATATTGCCACTTAAGGGCTTTAAGGGTGTGAAGTTCCACAGATAAATTCTCCTGTGAAGTCATGCTGAATTGTTGGTATGATCCTGTTGTGTCTTTCTGTGTAAAACATGACAGTTTTGGAGGCTAGGAGCAGCATTCAGTGACAAAAGCTGGAACAGGCTTTGTCTCCAACAAGGTGTTTGCAGTGTAATGTTGTATGTGGTTTATATGACTTGAGGATTAGGGTTAAAACTCTCCCAACTTGACTTACAGGTGTTAAATATGATGCGGAGAAGGAAGAAAAATACTTGCAGGATAATAAACAAAAGGAACTGGCAAGAATTGAGGAAGCCTTGCAGAAAGCAGCAGAAAAAGGTACCGAGTTAATGATGCAAATCTGCAGTGGAATTTGAGGACTTAGGCTGTGCTATGAAAGAAAAGTCCTGATTTGTGATTGGCATCATAAGTTTTGTTTTTTCAAGTGTCTGACTAATCTTATACAGTGCTTTAGAAAAGCCTGTTTCCTCTAAAGCTTAAAGCAGTGTTATTGGTTTGTGTAACATTTATTTATCCAGTCAGCTTCCATAGGAAATGGGAATTTGATAATCTGGTATGTCTTTTTTATTCTTTTCCTTCTTTTTTTTTTTTTTTTTTTTTTTCCCCTTTAAAGCTCTAAGGGAACAGGACCAACAATAGAAACTGCATTGCATGAGGCTGATGTTGTTATCTTGCTTTAGATCTTCAATAATAGATGTTTCCCTGTGTGTTTTAGAGGTGCATGGGATAGGAAGGAATCTTTAAGGGGAATGGTCAGGCTTGTAAAGTTTTACTGCAGTAGCGCTTTCATTTCAGTTTCTGCTGTCCTTTTGGGATTAACTCAGTTTGGACTGGTTTGGGAATTGAGACTCTTGAGCAGGAAATAATTCATAACACAAGAAAACAATTGAGCATGAACACAGGAAACTTAAAATTCAGCTCTGGGTCATAAAAAATGTTCGGGGTTCAATTATAGGTTAAAATAATTGATATTTAAGTCTAGTTAACCTGATTTATGGTGGTGCTGTTTGTTTGCTTGCTTTGCTGTTGTTTTCTTGTATTGTTGTAACATAAACCTTTAATAAAACAATGGTATAAATTAGGCTTGTTTGGACAGAAACCAAGCTCAGAACCAATGACAGGTGGCTACATTGGAGGAAGTTCTCTCTGAAGTTTTTATCTGGAGTGAGACCTGTTTGTTGGCTGGTGCAATGGTTCTTAAGATGCATTTTTAGGATACCTGTAATAGTGCAACTCTTGGAAAAGTTCCTGAAATTAGATGATGCTTCAAACACTTCGAAAAAAATAGTTTGGTTGTAATCTCTTTGCTTGTTTCATTTTCCAGTTATAGGAGAGTCTGCTGCCTTTTTCCTGCTTTGCCAGTTTGAGATGTACATTTGCAGTTCCTTCAGACAGCAATCTGACAATCTGTTTGCAGTGAAGAAAGCGGCTTTGCTTCATTTCTTGTCTTTATTATGCCAGAAATGATTTGAGAGCTGAGACAATTCCAGTGAATGAATTTTGCAGCCATTCCTTCCTCCTGGGGCAAAGGAATGTTGGTGGAGGTTTAACCTCAGCTATGTAGCACTTGTAAAGCAGCAGTGCTTCAGCCAAACTTCTGGCACCAGAAGCAATGGGTGAAGGGATAATATACTGAGATGAATTTAACCTAATGGGCACTGCTTGAGAAATTCCAGTTCTGGAACTGTGAGTCTGTGCACCTATGGGTTTGTGAGGCTTTTGAGAAAAAATCAGTGTACAGAAAATGATGCCTCAGTAGCTCAACTCCTTACATCAAGAACAAGAATTAGATTTAATCACATTTTGCAGTTTTAAACTTTCAGCCTTGGGAAGGGTGGAGGAACATTTAAATTGGATTACTTTGAACTCCAGCTTGAGATGTTCTGTTATTGTGGGATCATATTTCAGTGATATCCATTTTTGTTCTGGTGTTGTACTGGAGTATTGGACTCAGGAGGACTTGTGTAGACCTTGCTTGAGCAGGTCTTTTGCTGGATAGAGAAACCTCCTGTACCATATGAACCATAAAACTGCCCTCCTGACCCATAGAATTCTAAGAAATTCAGCTCTCTCTGTAGGCCTTTCAGAGCACACAATAGCTGTTGAAAATCTAGGAAATACATGGAATAGAAAGTTGTCAGGGTTCACCAATTCTCAGCTGTATTTTCTGTTCTGCTTAGTACTCAGTTTATAGTAACGTGTTTAGAATCTTGATTCAGTCCTTGGATTTAAGAGTCTCTGTGTATAAATAGTTCTGGGGATATTTTGACATGCTATTCAAATATTGAGCAAAACGGTCATGCCACTGTGGGGGCAGCACAGTGTGATGGGGAAGTGCAAACTGCTGACACATTTGATGGAACTATTTTCTTTTTTAAGAAAAAAAATCCCCGTCTGTATCAAACCTCACTTGGAGACCAGAGCTTGCAGGTCTGGTCTTTTGCTGGTTGCAAGAAAAAATTTAAAATTGCATGATTTTCCTGTGTAGGTAATCTTGGAAAGCAGATGTTGTGAGGTGGCTTTGGCTGTCACACACTGTAATGGAAATACTAAGGTGTCAGAAAGGTTTTGTGAACTGAACATTCTTTTAAACCAAATGCCCTTTTTGTTATTTGCTGCCATGTGGACCAAGGCACTCACTCAGGAGAGCCCCTGTATGGGTTGGAGAGTCTGGTTTACAAGGACACCAAGCCTGGTGGGTATGCATGGTTAGTTACCTTTTGAACCCCCTCCAAAGCAGCCAAATGTAGCAGAGAGAAAACACTCCTTGTTTGTAAACATCCACATATTGGTGGTTCTAGAAAGAAGGTTCTGATGAATGTGGATTCAATTGGAGTCTTGCAATGCCTGGTCCTCTTTTAATAGAGGAGCTGTTCAAGATGCTTAAAAGACCACTTAAGAGATTTCCATCAGTCAGCTGATGGAGCTCAAGAATGTTGATAATATTCTGCTGCAGTTTTACAAGACTATCTTTAGCTGTTTGTAAAGTAGAGAGTAATTACCCTGACCTAACTTGTCGGGGCTTAAGATAAAGGAAGTTCAGGCTGTCCTGAAACCACGGCCAGACAAACTGAGTGACAGCAGGTTGAAGGCATTGCCATACGCTTCCACTGAAATTCAGAGGAACTGTGCTTGTGTTGTACCTGCTGCATTTTTGATTTCTCTAACCAACTTTTCAGGAATTTCCACTTAGCCAAAATTACTTACTGGGCTTTTATCTTAGCATAAGTTTAAGAATGAGCTTAAAAACACACATTCAGTTAGCCCACAGTAATGGTGTGGTGACCAAGAGGAAAATCATGTTTGCCTTAGTTTTGTCATACATGGCAGTGAGAGGAGTTGCCCTCTTAAAATATCGTTTATAGGGCATGACTTGTAATGTTAAAAGGAAGCATCCAAAAGAAAACATTATTATTTGCCATAGTTTTTACTTTTGATTATTTGTAGAGTGATCACCTTACCTGCAAGACAGGGTGAAATCTTAGCAGGCAATTTCTCCTCCTTTGTTTGAACAGGCCTGCAAATGGCAAGAGTTGTTCCCACAGTAGGTACAGTTACACTTTCCTTCTGTTTTATTGGGATACACCCTCTGGTGCTGCAGCCTCCTGGAGATAAGCACAGGCAGCACTGCTGCCAGTTCCTTTCCCCCAGAGAGGGGGAAGAAACAGTCAGCTCACCAAACTGGTTTGCTTTAGCACTGGGGAAAAGCACGAGCATTATTTAATTATTGAAAGCCATGATAATATGGGTCATAATTTGTGTCCAAACAAGGCAATTTAACTTCATGTAAAGCTTTAAGTCATCATTTCTGTCTGCCTCTTTTGCAGTTAGTGGAATTGTTCTTTCAGGTTGCTTTCATACCACACTATTGATTAGCATGAGAATCATATTGAAACGTTCTCTTTGGGTCTCCACATAGGTTTCAAATATCTCAGCTTGAAAGTTCTGCCCTTGTATGGTAGGAGCTTCCTGTAGATTTATACCTGATGCTGTAAGAAGTAGCTGATTCCTTCCTTAAGAGATCAGAAATTCTTAAAGCTTTTAATGAGCCCCTGCTAAGGCCTTATGCTTTAGGGCAAGCTAAACTTTCTTCCTTGTTTTCTTATGCTTTCTTGCATTTCTGCTTTACTAACTTGGCTTTTATCCTTTTCCCAAAAAATTGCTTGCACTGGCAAAGGACGTAAGCGTAAAAGGTACAAAAAGCATTTTAAGAGACCCTTTAAAGGTCATGACCACTCAAAAGGTGGGTAAAAAAGCATTTTAAGCTTTTAACTTTAAGACTTCTTTCTTTCTGCTTTCTGTTTGGATTAGTTTCTCATAGTCTTGGCTATCCATGCAGTGATACCTTTTTTTCTACTGTTTGAAAGAGAGGATGTAAATTGGAGAGAGCTCTTTTTTTGCTGTTTATCCATTCTCTGGATCCAGTGAGACTGAGGAGAGTCCTTGATTCTCTCTTCTGGGGTAGTTCTTTTTTTTTTTTTTTTTAATGAGGATTGTTTTGCTATCTGCTAATAGAGAGTTGGAGTTGTGAAAAAATAATTAACGTGAGGAAATGTGAGCTGCATGTAAAAATGATACAACATTTTGGTTTCTTCTGAGTTCCTGGCTAATTATTTTTCAGTTGAAATCAAACACTCAAATTGTGTTATATCACATTCAATAGCAAAGTCCTTTTGTTTTTAAATGGATTTCTTAAGCCTCTCTTAAAGCTTTAAAAGAAATTATCCCACCCAGCCTGACAGAACACTTTTGGTCATGTCACTATAGTGAAATGCTGAGGGGTTTGAAATATTACTCCTTGTCCCTTTGTCCCTGGTGGGATGCTGGGCTGGTGTGGGTGTGCAGTTCCTGCTGCCCTGCCTGGTGCAGCAGAAATTGCGGTGTCCTGTGTGCCACAGCAAAGTCTGACATGGACCTCACTGAATGGCCACGGTGTAATCCAGTGAAGAGAAAATGGAATATTTCAGAGTAACTGTTGGGTTTCATTTATGATGTCCCAGCTGTTTAATTTTCTCTGGCAGTGTTGTATAAAAGGCTTTAAGGGGCTGGTCTCTTCTTGTTGCAAGTCCCATCCTCATCTGGTTATTCAAGGGTATTTTGTTCTAAATTACACTGTCTTACCTTTTTGCTTGTTGAAACCCCCAGTTAGTCACTGAGGGACTTGAAAGAGAAAACCTTTTACTTTGGAAGGAGTGGGGAGAAATGTATTAATCCAGACCTTGCTGTAAGCTAAACTGTTTTGACTGATACTTAAATGTCTATTTTCCTGTGGTTGTGCTAGACACAGGCAGCTAACACAGCTTCAGAATATGGATGTGCAGAAAAGGAAAAAAAATGCAAATATGTAATCTGAGAGAAAAATGTTGAATTAGAGGAAACGTATTTACATTGATGTAGTTGTTGGTGTGGTTAAATTCAAGATGCAATTACTACACTGAATGCTGCCTTTTTAAAAATTCTGTTTCTAGACAAACCAAAGGAGGAGAAGAAGGATACTTTCTTAGAAAAGCTTGCAACTCAAGTTATAAAAAATGTGCAAGTCAAAATCACGGGCATTCATGTTAAATATGAAGATGATGTAAGTAACTGGGACATATTACCTTCATGCCCCCTGATTGTATATGCCACAGAGAGAAACTGTTCTCTGCCACCTTGGAGAAGTTGCAGTGGTTTCTTCTGCACCTCTTCAAATAAAGCACCCCAGACATGAGTGAATGCCAGAAATATGGATTTGGGAAACAGATATTCTCCCTTTCCCCTTGTCCAGTGCTGTCTTGCTCACCAAATGTGGATGGTGGCTGTTCTCACATCTCAGTGTGTGCAGTTGATGTGGAGTTTTTCAGTGCCTTGAGCAGAGTCCAGAATGGCAGAAATTGGTGGCTTTAAGGATGAATCTGAAGGCAAATTGTTGGAAAACTTAATTACAAATGAGAGTGTTCATATGAACCAAACTGGTATTGTTCCAGTCTGGTTCCAGCTTCCTTTAGGAAAACGATAAAGCGGTTTGTGATGAGACAGTTGAATGTAGCAGAACAGCATTGGATAATAGTGTTTCTCAAACCTTTTTGGGCACTGTTTTCAGAGGCATTTAATTAAAAAAGGTTGGGGGACTGGATGTTATGAAATTATATAGCTGACTGAGATGTGGTACCCTGTAATTGTTCTGCCCTATATGAAGGTGTTAAGAGCCAGAAGGAAATGGTCAGTTTGGAGTGAAGGCCTGAGTCTTTCCCCTGCAGCCAGATTGCTTTAAGCCTGTCTCAGGGCATTCTGAGAATGTTCCAGCCACAATAACTGAGCAAAGGAAGGTTTCATGACAGCTCAGGATTTCAATCAACTTTAAATGACACAGCTGTTAGCAGCAAGAGAATTAAATATCTGTTGTTCTCTTTTTGCAGATCACAGACCCCCAGTGTCCGATTTCCCTGGGGATGACGTTGGGCGAGCTTAGTTTGCTGGTAATTGTGTGACTGCACGTTCCTGTGTTCTCAATTCCCTTGTCTTTGGAGTAGCAGAAAGGAGAAGTAACATGTTAAGGAGATGCAGTGACAGGATGCAAACAGCTGGAAGCCAAGACAGTCTTTTATTCATGCGAATAGTACCTGCAGTCTGAGCAAGCAGAGGGAAGAGGATTGAGGGACATCACACTTTCCAAGACCTGGGATTTGTTCTAATGACCCCAGAGATCTTTACAACTGAATATCTTTTCATAGGGCAGGTTATTGCCAGGCCTAATAAATTAGAGTAAACATCACATCCGAATGATTAAGAATGTGGTGTTTTGGCAGGCCTTGTGAGAAATGGGGAGAGAAAATTTCAGCTAACCTCTGTTTGTCTTAGTTGTTACTGACTTCTGTGGGCAGCATAAGGAGCTGAATATCAGAATGTACTGAAATTTTTATATTATTTTGACTCGTGTGTATGCAGTCTAGAGAAACTGGCATTAGTGGTCATGTAGCACTCAAATGACACATTCTTTGCTTGAAAGTGTAGGATAAACCCACAAATGTGTTAACTAAGATGAACAAAATTATTTCTATCCCTTTGAACTTGTAGACAACAAATGAGAACTGGAAACCTTCCATTCTGAATGAAGCTGCAAAAATAATATACAAGGTAATGTGTTTTGGTTTTTTTCCCTACACAAGTGAAGAAATCAACTGATCTGTAGAGTAGTCACCTGGGGTTCTGAAAAAAGTTGGAAAAGTAGTTTGCTTTGTGAATTGTCCTGTTTATTTTATTGTGTGTTTAAACAGAAGTAGAGCACAAATAACTGGCTTTATCCAAGGCATAACTTGAAATTCCATGGTTTAAATAATTTCCCTTAAATGTGAATGCTGATCCCCTCATTAGATGTATTATACAGCAAGTCTGCATACAAACTGTGGTTTCAGTAGGTTACCAAATTGCCATTTTCCCCCCAGTTTGTATTCCTAAAGTGATTGGGATTCTGGCAGCTGAGCAGTCTCTGTTCTCCCTGCCCAGCCCCTCCAATCATTCCCCCCCAGCCTGTGCTGAAAGGAACGTGCAGAGACCTAAGGAATTACAGGAATGACATAAGAAGGGTTTAATACTCCTGGCTTTTTTATTAGGCCAAGTATCAGTTTTGTGCCCCCAGAGCCGTGTTGAACAGATGTGCATCAGCTTGTGCTTTAAGAACTTGCTTTATAGCAACTCAGTTTTCCTTTCCAAATAGTACTGTAGGTTAAATGCATCTCAGTGCTGATGGTGGCTTTGCTGTCCAGTCTGCTTTCCTTTGTTCTCTGTTCTCCCAAATGGAAAGCCAAGTTCCTGGGATGGTTGATGGATTGCAATGTGTTCTCTCCTGTGCAGCTTTTGTGCCTGGACAGCCTCAGTGCTTACTGGAACGTGCACAGCCCAATGTACTATCACGGCTCCAGGGAGCAGATCCTGGTAAGGCAGGAGGCAGTGCATGGAACACAACGAGAATTCCTTTGCTCCTGTAGCATTCAAAACTGATTTCTACCCCACCCTTTGGTCACCTGGACTCAGGGTCATATATTCATCCCTTGCACTGCTGACAGCTGATAATTGTTTGTGAACTTCGTTTGTTATCAACCCCTATCAACTCCTTGCTTCTCTCACACTTGAGTCCTTTCTGCTTCAGAGTTTTAAAACAACTCAGGAACTGAGCAGATAGCAAATAACATGTCTTTTTTAGTAATGTTGTGTTAAAAGCCTGAACACATTTTATGTGTCATCGTTAGTGCAGATCATTTCCTGCCGAGCAAGGTCTTCCATCCAGGCAGGCTGCTTTGGTCTTGATTTTATCAGCATCATCAGCAAATCAGATTTATCATAGTAGCTAATTGCTCCATGCTGTAGTAAGAATAAGCTGTGTAATCTGTAGCAATCTGTTACTTTTGAGCAACAGTCCTCAGATTTAAATAACATCAGTTTATGGTGAGATTAGCTCTTTATCCTTAATCTGATAGAAGTTTAACTTATATTAAAAAGGATCAGCAGGTGGGAAATAGGTTGAAATATAAATACTTTCAATGAGAAAATGTACCTTTTATAAAATACAAAGCAGTTTTTAAATAAGGATTTGGGAAAAGAATTAGGTTGAAGAAATTTGCAGTTGCTAAATATTTTCCTGGTCAAAACAACTCCTGATATTGATAGTTTCTATAAAATTTGAAGGGGAACAAGCACTTCATCTGCCTTCATATAACATCTTCCTAAAAGCAAGCTTCCTGCTTGGACTGATCGTGCCATTGCAATTCTGAAACATATTTGGGCATGAATAAAGCATTCTCAAGAAATTGCCTAAAAATTACAGCATCAGGCAGACCTCATTTTGAATTAAGTCTTAGTTTTAGCGTGATGTTTCTCGGGCCTTTTGGCTGGTCAGTTATCTTCCTGACTTCTTTCTGTTTTGTAATTCCTCTCATACCTGCAGAACAGGCTCATGTGCTAAACATGAGGGAGGGTAGAATGTGAATAGTACACACATGAACTGTTTCTAAATTAGCACACATTTACTGCAAGGTTTAGAAGTCAAATAAAAACTGTGTTAACATTCCACTTCATACGAGAAACTTAAAATTCTTCTTTAACCTGGTGTATTTAAACCCTTCACTCTGAAGTGCTTGTGCTATATCAGATTTCCCATTTAGGGGGAGGAGGCCCATGTGTCCTGAAAGCCTAGAGAGCTGTAAACAAGTAAAGCTCCTGAGCAGGTGCTAGACAGTGACAAATTCCTTTGCAGGACCAGCTGAAAAGAGGAATTCCATGTGGTGGTAACCAGCCAGAAGATTACCAGTACAGTAAGTAAGCTGGGGATGGGTGAATATAAACTGTCCTGAGCGTGTTGATGTGCAACAGCCTCACCTGATGGTGTTTGTTGATAATTCTGGGTTATCCTCATTGTTGGGAAGAATTGCATCCTCATTCTGTGGGTCTTGAGCGCACACACCATCAGTACAAAGTGGTTGATCCATTGCTTCCCATACTTCAAATATGAAATCCGTCTCAATTTTTTTTAATCTTTAAGTTTTTAGACCAGTGTCAGCCTCTGCAAGACTGTATATCAACCCCTATGCAGAGTTAGAACTGAAAACTCCCAAGATTGATTGTAATGTGGAAGTACAGAGAATTGTCATTGAGTTCACTAAGCCACAGGTAAGTTGGTTTGGAGTTTGTTATCCCCATTGCACTTTGTGATGAACTGTAGGGTTTTTCCACTGCAGAACATTCTTCTTAGGGAATTTTCTGCTTACATTCAAGTAGAATGTCTGTTTAGCAGTACCTGTGGGAAATGTATGGGATCACTTTCCCTCTGCGTAACCATCGTTTCCTGGTGCTGAATGCTGACACTCTTACCTGTGGACCCTTGGGGACCACCTGATCCATATTCATCCCTTCCAGTAGCATTCCTCTCACACAGGGAATGGAGTCATGAGGAGCCCTTATCTTATTAAACCACAAGCCAGTGCTGTAACTGCAGAGATGGCAAAACACAAGCAAGGCTGGGAATGCAGGGGGTGTGCTGGCTTTGGCAGCTCAGCCTGCTGAAGTGCCAGGGAACTGATTTAGGAATCTCCCCAGCAGTGGCAGTGTTGTCAGTTATTCAGAGAGAAATTACAGTCAGCTGGCCAGAGAGCTTTTCAGCTCAAAGTGTATATTGAGTGCAGAACAGTACCAGTAAGGTTAACTCATCAAAGGCAGGTCTAAAATGAGGGAAACTGTGCATTGCTGAATGAATATGGACACCAGGAGCTCATCCAGTGGTGTCCTTGGAGAGCAGCGGGTGCAGTTTTTCCCCGTTTACATACTAATGCCACCACATTTCTGTGTAGTTTGAGGAATGCTGAAGAGCCTGGTAGTTGTTTAGGCACTGTGTGCAAACCCAGTGTGAACCCCTGCTGAGAACCCGTTTCCTTGTGTGCAGTACCTGAGCATGCTGGACCTGCTGGAGTCCATCGACTGCATGGTGCGTAACGCGCCCTACCGGCGCTTCCGGCCCCGCCTGCCCCCACACGGACACGCCGCGCTCTGGTTAGTGAAACATCCCGGTGAGGGAAGCCTCACCCAAAATCTGAACAACACGCCAGTGCTCTCTCCAGAGGCTGGAGTGTCATTTTAGAAAGGCTAAAGAAAACAATTAGCAAATCTAATACAAGGGAAATATGTCTGTCAACTGCAGTTTTTAAAGTTTTGAACTGATGTGCATTCTCTTGACTTTTTTCTGAGCATTTGGAACTTAAGGTCTAAATCAGTTAACTGATGCTGATTATCAAAGTTCTTAGGTGTATTTAGACCTTAAGTTAACTTAACTGATGCTGATTATCAAATTTCTCAAGTGTGTTTAAAGCTGTCACATCCCAAGTCTGCAAACTGTGCAGAAATCAGTAAAGAATGAAGACTCGTAGTTCTTCAGGCGTTAAATGTAAGCCCTCAGTCCGTTTTTCAAAAGTGGTGTTGAAACCATTAAAATTTTTATAAGCCAAGTTACTCAAATCACAAGTGGTAAACGAAGGTTGCATATTAATAAATTACTTCTTGTAAGTTGTAATGCACAAATGGAATGGGAAGTTGTTCACAAGCGTGGAATTATTGCAGGTGGAAATATGCAGGTGACAGTGTCCTCGAAGTTCACATCAGAAGACGCACTCGAATGTGGTCGTGGAGTAACATCAAACAGCACAGGCAGCTTCTGAAGAGTTACAAAAACACCTACAAGAACAAGCTGACTCAGAGTAAACTGTCAGAAGAAACTCAGAGGCAAATTCAGGTGGGAGTTTTTTTCTCTTTGGAGAAAGTATGTTTTGGTCCCATTGTGAAATAACTCTTGAAAATCGAGTAATCCAGGTTGATTGTTTTACAGGAGCACAAGAGGTCTGTGGAAATACCTTTTTAGTCTAAAGTTCAGCGTAACCTGCTGTGGAGAGAAAATTAAAATACTAGTAAAGTGCCATTTAAAATTAAACTTCTTGTTGGAGGATTAAGAAGCTTGGATACATTTAATGAAGTGAAAGAGTAATCTAATAAAAAAAAAAATTGGACTATGTAACATCAGATTTCATCTTGTAGTGAACTTTGAGAGGAGGGGATATACCCTAGAAGGAAATGAGCCGATCTAGAATGAAACTGGAGTGTAAATACAAAGGAACTGGTAGAGAATTTGTGATGGAGAGCCTTTCCTAGATGTGTTTTAGAGGCAAATGATTTCATCATCCATTTTTACAGGACCTGGAAAGACAGCTTGACGTCTTCAATATAGTCTTAGCAAGGCAACAAGCACAAGTGGAGGTAAGAAATAGTTTTTGTTGGATAAATATTGTAACACTTCAAATAGGATGGTTTTGTCATGATAATACCTTTGTTATCTTTAATTAACCTCTGTAATTGCGTCTTGTATTTACTGCTCATGCCAATGTAGCCTCAGTGTTTGGTAGCACCTCTGGAATGGGTGTAAAATTAAGAGGAAAAAATAACAATGGTGGTTCTTATTTTTTGAGATGTTTGTGGTCAGAATTTGGTTTTTGAAATGCCAAGTAAAAGCCTGAGCACAAATTAAACATTTTAAATACTTAAAATTTTAAAAATTAGACTTGAAATTTAAAATTTTAAATGGTGCAGGATCAGTCCTCAGGTTTGTCACTGCCAGATTTAGGCAGTGTAGTTGCTTTTTGTATCCTCTTAAATGCCATATTTTCAGGTAGATTCTGTAGTTTAAATGCCAGTGAAATGTGGAGAAAAAGCTTTTAACTTTTTTAAAGTTAAAACACATACCTGTGTTTGTCCATGCACATACACACACACACAGACATGCCCCTCACTCTGATCCTGTCTTATGAGTCAAAGTGCTCTTTATCCCTAGTGGGCTGCTTAAATCGATAGTAATACTATGAACTATATATTTTGTCCAATGTGTTTTGATTTCTGGTTTGCAGACAATAAGATCAGGACAAAAATTACTGAAGAAGAAAAGCACTGAAGCAGAAAAGAAAAGTGGAGGATGGTTTGGTGGTTTCTGGGGCAAAAGAGAATCTAGGAAGAAAGAAGATGAGGAATCACCTGTTCCTGAAAGTAGGTGTAGATTGTAATGCACTGATGTTTAGAGAGACTTCCAGTTTTTATATACATTGAGAGGAAAGTTATGGTATGTTTTGCTTCCTACTATGCAGAAGGAGAGGGTGTGGCCTAATCAGTGCAGTGCTGATCATTTTACAGCATCACTTACTGAATATTGAGCTGGCAAATAAGGCAGCCTCTGAAATGGCCAAAAGCATCTCAGAACCTTGATGAGGAGATCAGTGTGGCATTTACAGCTACAGAGATAATTAGCAGCAATTGGAATACTCTTTTTCTGGTGATTTACTGTCTGGATCAATGATTTGTTCTAATAAAACTCCTCAAAGCCACTTTCATCATTGGGAATTATGGGAACTCTTGTAATAAATACTACATTGATTTCTGTGCTGCATATGGAACGCTATGTATGGACACTTGGTGTGAATTATTTTACAATCTGGACTTAGTGCAATATGAAGAACCCATGAAATGTATCAGCAGAACTGAACTGCAGTAGAAAACTAATGTGGGGAAAAGTGCTTATTGTTATTTATAAAGTGCAAATTGTGTGGGTCTTTGGTTTTAGCTATTGATGAACTAATGACCCCAGAGGAGAAAGCCAAGCTTTTCACTGCCATTGGATACAGTGACAGCTCCCACAACCTTTCCTTACCAAAGCAGGTAAGCAGCAACTTATGGGAATGGGTTAAACAAACACACTCCCCAACAAATTTAGTGTAAACCTTCCATCTCCCTCAGTACCCTGAAGAAAGATGCAGCTTCAAATTGAGGGAGGAAATATTGTTTGATTCTTCTGAAGTTGCTGATTGACAGAGCCCCACATAGGTTGAGAGGTGAAAACCCTTTCTTGGCAAGGCCAAGACATGACGCTGAGCAGCCAGAGCAGCAAAGGCATACCTACCATGTCCTCTGAAACGTGGTTTTGGTTATCTCACTGGTTCTCAGCTGAAGGTGGTTTAGCTGGGCTTGCTTCACTGTTTAAAAAAATGTTCCTCAGTCCTGAAGAGGCACAGGCTGTATTTGCTCTGCATTTGTTGAGCAGTGTTTTATGTTAAAGAAATGACTGATAGGGGTTGAATCAAGTCAAGATTGTTCTTTGAATCCTACATAGAAATGTGTCTCTGATCTTAGGTGTGTGGAATAACTTAAAAAAATGCATTTCAGTGATTCGTTGAAATGAGGAGTTCTGAAAAATTATTCTTATTGAGATGACTGATTTCAATTCCCTCTGTTCTTCTCACCAGTATGTTGCCCATGTTGTGACACTCAAGCTGTTAAGCACTTCTCTTACAATTAAAGAAGACAAGAATGTGGCAGAAACTCTGAAAGTGCAGATAATTGATCTGAGTACCAAAATATCCCAGCGCCCAGGAGCACAAGCCATCAAGTAATTGGATTGGTATTTTATTTTTGTAGAAACATCTCTGCCCTCATCCCCCTTCCCATCTGCTTTATTTTTCTCTCTTGGTTAGTGCATTATAGTGTATGTATTGATTTTGAATTTTCTGGGCATTCTGGAATTTCACTCTGCTGTAAATCCATATTTGGTGAATAACATGCAATAGAACGAAGAAGGGAAGACTATTTGTTAGGTACCTTGAACAGTAGCAAACTTCTTCTTGTGTCAAACCTGAAAGTTCTATTTAGTCCACTTTGCAGGGAACAGAAGATGAGGAGGAAGTGTCACCCCTGTGTTGCTGTGAACACCTTGCCTTCTGCTTATTTTTCCAGTTTAATAATGAGCTTTTGTAAACCTGTCACTTGTTAGTCCTGTGAGGTTAGTCATGCTGGGCTTTCTTACAGGCTTTCTCATCTTGCTGGGCTTTCCTAGATGTATTTAGGATTCCAATCAAGTATATTTTACTTTTCATCTTTAGGGTTGAAGCCAAGCTTGAAAACTGGTACGTTACAGGCCTGAGACAGGAGAACATTGTTCCATCTCTTGTGGCCTCCATTGGGGACAGCAAATCTTCCCTGTTGAAGATCGAGTTTAACACTAACCCAGAGGACAGCACAGCTGACCAGAGCCTTTCCATCGAGTCCCAGCCTGTGGAAATCAAGTATGATGCAGTGAGTAGTAACCAAAGAATGACCTATTTCTGATGCCTCTTTTTCTGCCATAGCAATCACAGAATCATAGAATCATAGAATTAACTGGGTTGGAAGAGACCTCCAAGATCATCAAGTCCAACCCTTTGCTCTATTTTTGAGGTTTTACCTGAGTGACCTCTATGTATATTGCTAATTCTTGTCTTTTTTTTTTTTTTTTTTTTTTAATGTAAAGAGAACAATAAATGCAATGGTAGAATTCTTCCAGACAAGTAAGGGAATGGACCTTGAAAGATTAACGACAGCCACCTTAATGAAGCTGGAAGAAATCAAGGAGAGAACTGCTACAGGTAAGAGAATAACACAGTAACAAATCTCACCTAAGGTGAACCTTTGAAGGTGATAAAAAGTTGCAATGGGATTATCTAAAGACTTTGGTTATGGTTTGATCACTGGCCAAATGGTATGACTGGGATTTTTCCTCGAGTTGGTTTCTTGGACAATGAGTGGATGTTCTGTGGGAAGGAGCACTGAGTTTGGTGAGAAATCAGTAGATGCTACAGAAGGCAGTCTGGACTCCAGATGCTTTGTCTTTCAGATAAACAACATCTTTTGCTATGTTGACTGGCACAATTGTTCCACCTGGGAACAGCACTTGAATTCCAATGTCCTTCCCTTTTTTATTTCAGGGTTAGTTCATATCATTGAGATGCGGAAAGTCCTGGACTTGAAGATTAACCTGAAACCTTCCTACCTCGTGGTGCCCCAGACGGGTTTCTACCAGGAAAATTCAGCTTTGCTCATTCTGGACTTTGGTACATTTCAGGTATGTAAATGACCTCTCTATAGGCTCAAAGGAAGCAAATATTCCTTTCTTTGAACATAGCTGTCATCTGAAACTGTCTGGCTTTCAGAAGGCAAAGGTGATAATCTGTGTGAATGTGGTTTTAACTTGATATATTTCTTACCAAATACATTTGAGTCAGCAATTTGATCAGTGTTCAGGGTTGTTATCTTTGACTTGTACTGGTTAATCCTCCCCAGGAAGCATGTTCATGTTGTAATCATGCTCATCATATCTTTCATTTCTTCAGCTAAACACGTGAACTTCTGTTTCCTTTTTTTGTAAAATGGTAGCCTTTTATTAATAAAAGAGAATTTATTTTTCTCTTGGAGTTTGGAAGTTGATTCCCTTGTTTCTGTAGAATGGAAAGATTGCAATCATTTAACTGCATTTAGCTTACTGTTTTAAGTATTTATTTTATTTTTATTCCACCAGTAAAATTGTAAAAAAAATTTAAAATTCCTTTTGAATCAGTTTAATTAAGTGGACTGATAGAAGTAACAAAACAATATCTACTTATCAAGAATAAGTGAAGTGTGAAATGATTTAAGATATTTTGTTAGTAAGAGTCCAAATGTCAATCATCAGCTATGAATCATATTTTTCATCTTCACTAGAATGAACAGCACATGTCTGTAAGGTTTAGCTTTAATTTTGTCTTGTTCTTTGTGTTCAGCTGAACAGCATAAATCAAGGCAGCAGTCAGACTTCCACCTTTTCATCTCTGGAGGAGATTATGGACAAAGCTTATGACAAGTTTGATGTGGAAATAAAAAACGTGCAGCTGCTTTTTGGAAGAACAGGTAACAAAACAACGTAGTTGTTGTTTATTCAAAAGACTGTTGAAGGCTTCCAACCTGTAATAAATATGTTTTTAGAGGAAAAAGGCAAACCAAAACAAGTAGGTAATGAAAGGATAGGTTATAAAAGGTATGAAAATTTGGTTATTTTCTCTTCAAACAGCTGCTCTTTTTTGTTGGGATTTGTGCATCCCCTCCTGACTTTGATGCTGTCAGTGAATGTAAATGCTCAGAACTACAAAGTTTTCCATCATGTGCAGCTCAAATTTGCCTTAATACTTCACTTGAACTTGAGTTTGTGTAATCAGCAGAATGCTAGGTTCCTGTTTTGTGTTTTGTCCATCAATTTATCTATCTATCCATCTTTTTTTGTGGTTCAATATTTACACACATCTTTTAGTGTAGAATTTGGCTTAATGCTGCTAAGGCATTAGTGTTAGCAGAGTATACTGAAAGCTCTTAAAATACTTGACCTAAATGATTTTAGGTTTCTCTGGTTGGTGAGTGGGGTTTTTTTACCATCCTAGTAATGCCATTTGATTAAGTTAATGATAGCCTAATTAAATCAATTATCAGGTGATGGTTTTTCATGTCAGTTTACCTGATTTGCAGGTGAAGACTGGAAGAAGGCTCGTTTTCAACATCCATCAACATTGCACATTTTGCAGCCTATGGATATTCATGTGCAGTTGGCAAAGTCAATGGTGGAAAGAGACACCAGGATGCCAAAGTAATATCTTAATGTTGAGAAGACTTGGTTGTAATTACTGTGTACTGACAGAAAACTGTGGTTTCCCTAGAGGTGCAGTGACACTTTATAATTTGAAGGTGTAAACTAAGAAATAGGAATAGCTCAGTACTGTTTACAAACCCTGTTTTGGCCAGTCAGCTCCCTGGATGCTTTGCTGGTTACTAATTACTGCTTAAACTTAGTTCAAGACCTGCTTTAATGCAGAATCACTGGTTTCACTGTGATGTGACCTTTCTATCTGAGTATCCGTACTGGTAAGATTTAATTCAAGAATTGGTATGTGCATTTTTGTCCTGGAGTTTGATCACTTTGTTTTTTAAAAAAAAGGTTTAAAGTGTCGGGAGGCCTTCCTTTGGTGCATGTCAGACTGTCAGACCAGAAGATCAAGGCAATTTTTGATCTGATTGACAGCATTCCCTTGCCTCAGAAGTCATCTGTGTCAGCTCCAAGCACAAAGGTAAGCTGACTACAGCAAAGAAAACTGAAAAATAAAAAAAAAATCAAATAAAGAGACAAGGCTCAGCAAAGTGTCTTCACTGTGACTCACAACCAGAATGTGCTGGGCTCACTCAAACCTGGCTGGTGCAGCCTTTGTCATTTCCTGCTGCTTTCAAGGATTGGCAAAACTGACCTTTCCAAAGAGGATGGGGGAGCCATCAGTGGAAAACATGGACATACCAACTTAGATAAACATGAAAATCATGTGCTGGATTTTTCTCTTTTCCCTCCTTCCAGGTACCAGCTATTCCCACAATCCCTGTTGTCAGTAAAGGGTTACTGAGGACACCCCAGTTGTTGGCAGAGATGGTGTCAGGTAAGGAGCTCCAGACGTGCCTTTGTGCAGGTGGAATAGCTCATATTTTCATGTGATTGGTGTTAGAACATAGAACAGCAGAGGTGAGTGTGACTGGTTGTGTCTAGCTGCAAGTGCAGAAGAACATTTAAGATGCTGATGTTACCTCAAAATAATAAACTTGCTTTTTCTAGAAAGCGAAACCACCTCATTTGTAATAATTAATATTATGCCTAAGCAACCTCTTCAAATGAAAGTGAACTGTGACTTCCAGCTGTATTTGGTTCTTCTGACTGTGCTGCATTAGCAAAACTCTCCTTTTTCTGGAAAGGCACAACTAGAATAACAAATGGGGAATTACTGTATTGACACAGTGGATGTGAGCATTCATTTCCATGGCTGTTCTAGGGAAGAACTTGCCTGTAGAAGAAACTGGGACTTATTTTTCCTGGAGCTTCCTTTATAACTGATTTTCCTTATATGTGTCCCTGCACGTCTGATGATGCATCTGGACCCCAGTGCTGTCCTTAACAGGGCTTTCATTTTGTTCACCCTTCACCCGTGGTAGAGCAGGACAGATCTACACTGTCCTTTGTCAGGTTAGCTCTGAACTGCTCATGCAGTTAAAATTCCTGAGGGGATGGAAAGACAGACTGGCATATTTACCCCTGTTTCTGGAACCAGTTTACTGAGGGAGTCATTTCACTCCTGTAGATTCTGAAGAAGAGTATTTTGATTTTGAGGAAAGCTCTGAACCAACTGACAGGTCACTAATTAAAGGAGAAGAAATGAGAAGTGAGGAGCCTGCTCAAGAGGAGCTGACAGACCTTCAGCTGAAGTTTGAAATTAAAGAGGTATGTCTGCAATTCTATTTTCACCTTCTGCATAAAGAGTATTTTTTAAAAAAATCCAGTATTCATTTACCAGTGCTGTCAAGATGAGTGGATGCAAACACATAACCACCAAACAGAAAATATACATAATGTGTATGAAGTATAGACATAATATTTCTATGTGTAAGCAATTTATATGTGGTATGTATATGAGCTACTTCTTATATGTATATGTGATGCATATAAATAAAACATAATACATACACACAGATGAATTATGGATTAAAAAAAAGAGAAGAGTTGGAGTATTTTTGATAGAAAAAAGTGGAAATCTGCACTGGAAGACCAAAAGTCAGACTGAAGCAGGTCACTTGGAAAGAACAAATCCCAAAATATCTTCTATGTTTATATCTGTCACCATTGAACAATCACTTTTCATTCTGTTTTTATACTCTCAAGTCTGCAATAAAAATCACAACAAAGCAGGGAAAGCATTAATTTTGCACTTTTCAATGTTGGTTTAAGTGGTGAGAATGTTATATGTGAGAAGTTGGTATAACTGTGTATTTCTTGCTCATCCAGGTTTTAGTAGAACTCACCAAGGAAAAGCAAACTGAGGAAACAGTGCTTGTGTTTGATGTCATGCATCTGGGGACAGAGGCTACTGTCAGAACCTATAACTTAGCAGCAGTATCTTACTTAAAGAAAATAAGCCTGGATTACTATGAAATTGGAGGTAAGGAGGAAGGGAAGTGTGTGTGTGTGTTTATATTTATCAGTTATGTGAAGCTTTTTTGCTCACTGAAATGCAAATGTTGGTCCACTCTTGGGTTCCAGTGTTCAATATTCAGCTGTCCATCGGCAGTGCTTGTCTCACGGTACAGCTGGGCAGCTCTGGATTCTCACCAAATGCTTACTGGAGAAATAAATAGCTTAGAGCTCAGCCTTTGGCTGCAGAAGGGGGACAGACTGACCAGTTTGCACTTAAGAAAGAGAAGCCAGTGATTCATATTTGGTGGTGCAGTGTATTTTAACAAACAGTGTTGAGGGTTAATCGTTACCTTCAAGTATCTGAAAGAGCAGAAATGACCCTAATTGTTGTTTATTTCCTGTGGTGTGTTCCAGGTAAAAAAACACCCATTCACCTCATTAGTTCCTCAGATAAACCTGGCTTAGACCTTCTGAAGGTGGAATATATCAAGGTATACTAAAAGCTTTTTAAAATTATTTTTAAAGCACTTCCACATATTCTTAATATGTAGGCTGTATATAATCTTAAACCTACCACTCAGAGCTAGTTGGATTGGTTTGTACCTTCTGAAGAAGGTACCAACCAGCACCTGGTTGGAATTAATATTAACCTTCATGCAAATCCTTATTTTCAGGCTGACAGAAATGGGCCACAGTTTCAGACAGCTTTTGACAACACTGAACAGATGATTCAAGTGAGTGTTTGCAGATTTTATTGCTTATTTTCTTTCGGTTGGCTTGTTTAGAATGGAATGAAGAAGTTTTTTGGCTTTCCTGTTTTCCTGCCCCTCCCAGCCTTGCAGCAGGAGATTTAGAGTTCAAATGTGCTTGAAAGCTTTTGTTCCACCTCTGCCCAACTCTTACACTTGTTAAGTTATTGTTTCGTCATCTGGAGTCTCGTGTTTTCCCCAGGTAACGTTTTCATCACTGAACCTCCTGTTGCACACAGAGGCCCTGCTGTCTGCTCTCAGCTTTCTGACAGCTGTGAGCCCATCTGGCAGTGACAGCAGGGGAGACTCACCAGTGAAGGAAAAGCAAGAGGATGACACCAGATTGAAAAAAGGTACAGTGGGATTGTCCAAATGATGGTTGGGAAAGTGTTGCGTGCTGGCAGAACAAGCAAATCCAGAGAAACATGATTGGCTTTGTAGTGTGAGATGAAGGTGAAAGCTCACCAGGCTGCAGGGCTGATTTCAGAAAACCAAGAACTGAACGAGTTTTTAGGAGATTTTTATTCCTGTGTTTCACAGCCTTTTCACAAATAGACTTGAGTGTGAGTAAATGAGATTGCTGTGAGCTTAACAGGGTTTGAACAATAGCATAATCTTAGTGTTCCTGGTAAAATAAAGCAGATAAATAGTACTTGGATGACCATGCTATGCTGTTGATCTGGGCAAATGCTGATGTGTTTTATCAGGAGAGAGGCCCCCAGAGGGAGATTTGTTGCTCTAAGATGGGATGGTGCAGATAGTCAAGATACTGAAAGAAACCAAACTAAGTCATGTGAATGCCCAAAAAACCCTAGGCCAAAACAGCCCTTGAATCCTCTCAGGAGTATTCAAGTGAAAATACTACTTAAAATTACCTTGAAAATCCCACTGTCTCTCATTTTCTAGTGTCTAGACCTTCCAAGGATAAGGATGTGTTTGACTGCAAGGTCTTTGCCAAGCTGGATGCCTTCTGTTTAAATATTTGTGATGAGAAAAAGAACATTGCGGAGATCAAGATACAAGGTACGAAATTTTCTTGTTTGTAGCAACTGTTTTGGTAGTTTAGTTTCAAAGCAATTATTAATAATTTGACTTAAAGATAATGAAGGTGTAAATTGGCGGCATCTGCCTTTTTATGTTATTGTTATCTTTACAAACATGATTTGTAGTCCTGTCCATCATAACTTTTGACCTCCAGCTAGAAAAATCTGATAAATTATTATTCAGATAATTACTACTTTGAAGGACTTTGATTATGGATGGCTTTTCACACTGTACTAAGCTTTGGATATTTTTCTGCTATACCTGAATTAATTAGGATAAAAAAAAACCTTAAAATCGGTTTCTTTGGGTTTTAACCCCTGAGATTTGTTTGGGTTTCATGGTTTGGTTTTGTTTTCTTGATTCTTTTTTACCTCTCAGAAGGATTATCAATAATTCTTTGTGGGGGACAGGAGTGGGGAGGGAGAGTTTAGCTGTAAACTGAGTTTGGCTGTAACTGCCATCCTAAGAGCTGCCCAAACTCTCTCTTGTTATGGATATTTAAGAATGTGTGATATACCAGATTTTGGACTGCAGTTCGTAAAGTCTTTTGCTTGTGCCCATCTCTAAACCATATTAAATACTCACACAAGATTCAAATACAATATGGTTACTTTTATTCTGATAAAAAAAATCTCTATAAAATCAGTCAGTAGCTTGGTTACTAAGAAACGAATTATTGTGTGAATGTATTTCTATGAGTAGATTCCGGAGATGGCTGATGTTGAGGCAGTATCTGTATTAGAAATGCCTCTGTTTTGCTTTTGGTCAAAGCTGTAGGATGGTCACATTTTCAGAGCTCAGTATCTTCTCTCACTCCCCCTGCTGCTGTCACGTGTCCCCACCCTGAAAAGAAGTGTCACTTTTGCTGTGCAACACAACTGTTTCTATTTTTATGCTTTACAGGTCTTGACTCATCCCTTTTCCTTCAGCCAAGCCACACCGTATTCTTTGCCAGACTTAAAGACATAGTTGTCACAGATGTTGATTCAAGGACCCTTCATAAAAAAGTACTCAACCACAAGATTTTAACTTTTACTTGATTCTTGGTTAGTTTTATGTGTATAAAAGTGAAATGTAATATATATTCCACTCTTTCTGAAGTATTTGATTTGTTATTAATAGGTCTTTTCAAATAAGATACATATAAAGAATAATCTTCATATTACAAGAATGGATGTGTAAAAAGATTTCAAGATGTAGTAATCTAACTTTCACATCTGATAGGCTGATGATCTGTTTAGTTCTGTGTGTTAAGTCCCTGTTTAGAAGCTGCTGATGGCTGGTAGGTGCTGTTTCTCTCTTTCTAGGCCGTGTCTATAGTGGGAGATGAAGTTTTCAGTTTCAATCTGACGTTAAATCCACAAGCTACTGAGGGAGAAGCCTACACTGACATGTCCAAAGTGGATGGTTCTGTATCTCTGAGAGTGGGCTGCATTCAGATTGTGTTCCTCCACAAGTTCCTCATGGCTCTTGTGGTAAGTCTCATTTTCCTGTGTTTCTGCAATATTCTCACATTGGTCTCGATGTTTGTGCCCTCAGTACAAGTGGCAGCTTCAGTTTCTGAAAGAGAAGGAATGGGCTTAATTTTTCATGTGAGCCATTCAAAACCTTTGCTCAGTAAGCTTTCACTGGTTACAGTTTGAGAAAAACCAGTCAGTGCAAGTGGGTCCCTCCCACCCTCAGCTTTGCAAAAAGGAAAGTTTGGTGAGTTAAGGTGCTTTGGGGGTTTTGTGTTTGCTGCCCTCGCCGCCCTGGCAAGATCCTGAGGTCATTGCAAAGCTATCTGAGGTAACATCAGAGGCAAATCTTTCTGCAGGGTTAGATGTGATGACACCTGCAGAATCACCAGTTTAAATGTTTGTACACTGAAGAACCCCAATGTTGGCTTTTTCAGTACAGCACCAGGGGGCTTTGCCTCCTTCAGTACTGACTTGAACAGGAATTAGGATTCACTGAGGGCAAGAGGGCCTTTAACAATTAACTGTCCCTAAAAGCTAATGAGCCAAGAATCCTGTAGCTAAGGAAGGAAGAAAAAGTGAAGATGAGTTTAAAGTAAGTGAGTTGTAGTGGTTAGTGGCTCTCAATTAGAGGTCATGACAGAAGGCACCAAGTTGTCTCTCCCCAAGGGAAGTTCCACACAGTAGGCAGAATAGTTGATGGCTGATGGTGGTCATGGGTGATGTGGTAAAACAAGAAAGTAACCTAGATTAAAAAACTGCTTACAGACATTTCTACTTCAACTGCTTTTTCTAGACCTTCTTGAACAACTTCCAGACAGCCAAGGAGGCTCTGAGTGCTGCCACAGCCCAGGCTGCAGAAAAGGCTGCCACCAGTGTGAAGGACCTGGCTCAGAGGAGTTTTCGCCTGGCCATGGACATTCACCTGAAAGCACCAGTTATCGTCATCCCCCAGTCCTCAGTGTCCCCCAGGGCCATAGTGATAGACCTGGGCTTGATCAGGGTGCAGAACCAGTTCAGCTTGGTGTCTGCAGAAGGCAGCTCCCTGCCTCCAGTCATTGACAAAATGGATGTGCAGCTGACAAAGCTGAAGATGTCCAGGTACAGTGGCTTCACTAAATAATGCCTTCACTAATTGCTAATATTAATATTCTATAGGATATTAATTTACTTGCTTAGAAACTGTGGTCGATGCTAGTGTCAAATAATTGCTGTTAGAATGCTCTTACTTTAGGGCAATTCAGTAGCAAAATTAGAAACTGCTCTGCTCAGGAAACTCTTTAAGCCTAAAGAGGTATCACATCTGAGACTGAGATTTTACAAAGTAAATTTAACACGACTGAACTTCTAACTTCCCAACTGTGTGTGTTGTTTTCTTTTCCCCCCTGTGTTTCAAGGACCACTGTGGAGGCAGATTCATCACATCCAGATATTCAGATTCTTCACCCTATTAATTTAAGCCTGTCAGTGAAGAGAAATCTGTCTGCAGCTTGGTTTCACAAACTGCCTGTGCTGCAGGTCACGGGCTACCTGGACACAATGAATGTGAGTCCTGTGAAAAGGTGGGGAAATGCTTAATGTGGGACTAACCCTTGTGTTAGAATTCTGGACTCAAAGGGGCAATAAGTTTCAAAGTTTTAGTAGATGTGGAGTGATTTCAGTGATATAACAGGATTTGACCCCACCTGTATCAATGTAGAGGCTTGAAAGCATCAAATAGAACAGCCAAACTGCTGTGTGCATTTAATAACCTGAGAGAAAAAGGACTGAAAAGAGAAATAAGAAGAGGATGTCAAGGAGTTAATTCCTTGCAATGAGACAGGACCAACTAAATTTAAATTAATGCAAATATTTGCCTTAGTATCTGCAGCTTCATACCTTCCCATCACCCCTGAAAGACTCAAGATGGTTGTTTTCTGTGGCATTTTATGTACTGTGAAAGACAATAACTGGTATGTCCTGGGTGAAACTGGAATTAAAATATTAAATAGCATATCATTAACAGGAAAATATTAAAAACATAGATGTGTTAAAGGCTGCAATGTACACGGGTTCAGCTTTGGAAGTCATAACCTTTAATCTCCTAATAGTGTAACAATAAATGGTAGGAAGAATTTAATTGTGTTATTCAAGGGATGATTCTGCTGACAAAATACTTGTAAAAAAGGCACTCTTCTTGTCAGGAATCGTTGTTCTGCTTTTTAGCAGGTGATAGGTTTAAGGAACAATGTCTTTTTCCTGAGAACTGTGATCTGCTGCTTTGTAGGTCGTGTTAAGTCAAGAGGATCTGAATGTCTTTCTCAGAGTGTTGACAGAAAACCTTGGTGAAGCAGAAGAACAAACTGATGCCAAATCAGTCCTGCAAAAGGAAGGTCAGAGCTGGAATTGGTCCTGAATACTAAGTGTGTTGGGTTTCAGGAGTAAGGAAAGGCATTTCTTATCTGGAAAACAAGTTTAGATCTGAGAGGTGTGCAAGCGAGGAACTCTTTAATTCTGCAAGGACAGTGCTCATACTTTGAGACTTCAAAAAATTGGAAACAGTACAGACAAAATGTGGTGGTTGTGTTGGCTGAGTTGTCAAGGAACTAGCAAGGTACTGAGATGTCAGAGTTGTCTTGTTGCCAGAACATGTTTTTATTTCCTTTTCATGCTCTCCTTGGGTACATGTTGCCAGCTTATCTTAGGTGAATGTGAGCCTTCTGAATGGATGAAAGAGTTGGATGTTTTTTCTTGAGCTAAAAAAATGGTGGCCATTTCCAAAGTTAACCAGTTTATTGAATGTTTCAGGTAAATCCAAAGAAATGGAGAGATCAGTTTTGGTACAGGGTAAGAGTGGTGCAGAAGGAATGCTGTCTGAAAAGAGAAAAGAGACACTGACTGAAGATGTAATCAATGTGCTGCTTAATTTTGAAATCAAAGAGGTACGTGTCCATCTGCACAAATTATTGTTCCTCAACCCAGTACTCAAGTCTGGTTCTTAGAAGTAGAGGGCTGTAAAGTCCATTTTAACAATTAAACTTAACAACAAATGAAAACAAGAGGAACAGGGGTGGGGCCAGGGGAAATCTTGAGCAAACTGGTCTGGTAGGGTCTTTGTAAAAATGCAGAATGTGGAGATGAATGTCACTGTTGAGGTTCAGCTGAGGAGACAATGCCTGCCACGTGTGGACAGCCTCACTGAACCCCTGAACTGCCCTTGCCATCTTCCAGGTTGTAGTGACCTTGATGAAGCAGGTTCAGGAGGAGAGATACCCATTACATATCCTGACTGTGCTACAGCTTGGAACTGAAACCAAAGTCAGAAACCATGAACTGACTGCAGCGGCATATCTGAAAAAAATTGCCATGAGATGCACCGAGATAAAGGGTAAGTCCTCCAGAAAAGTGGTGCACAGCCAGCAGTGTGAGGGCAATCAGCTCTTGTTGCAAGAGAATAATATCCTCCAAACCAATAACTAGAGGGGGGGGAAAGGGGCAGGAAGTTACACTCCAAATTGACTTAATGGGGCTGTCCAGTGTCATTTAGAGGGAATTAATTTGCTTTACCTGACACCAAGTTTTGCTGCAGCTGCCAAGAGTCAGTTGGAGTTAATGTTTGTGAGGGAGTTGCCTACTCTGAGTAGGAGTGGTCATTGCTGACAAAAGTTGTGACTGTTGAGGGGGTTGAGCTGCTGGGTCGGTGCTGTGTGACCCATTCTAAAACTAAACTAAACTAAAACTGATGGTGAGGTAATAACTGAAATAGCCACGTATTCCAAGTAGAAAAGCAAGATTTTGAATGTAAAAACCTGAAGATAGGAATGCAAAACTAATTACAGGAACGCAAAGAACTTTCCAATTTTGAATCTTTTTTGTAAGGACCGAGATAAGTTAATTATTACTTGTTTAATTTAAAATAAAAATATATTTCACAAGGTAATGCAGCTTCCCAGTGCAAACAGCTGTTTACTTTCACTCTTTCAGCAAGAATAGTATATAATTAGGATATAACTGAGAATCAGCATAGGGATATTCCATAGGTGGAGTAAAGCTTGTGAGTGGAGATATTTTACATCTTTATTTCTTTGTTTGCAGACTCAAAAGGAGAACCTCTTTGCATTATTAATTCTTCAAGTGAGACAGATGAGCACCTTCTGAAAATGGAATACATTAAGGTTTCAGTACCTTTTCACTAAAATTACATGGGGAGTAAAATAAGGCTTTCCAAACTTACCTTGTAGGGTTTGTATCTAAAACTTAACCAGACTTTCTCCCAAATACCTATTCTCCAACTTAGCATTTCATTTCCTTCTTTTATTTCACCTATTATTAATTATTGATTAACTCAGCAGAGACTGACTGTGTCCTTTTTTTTTTTTCCTTTCCCTTTAGGCTGATCCTGATGGGCCAGACTTTGTTACAACTTACAAAAACACCAAGCAGAACATCAATGTAAGCACTGGATGGCTTTAGGTTTTTTTTAAGCTTCTCAAATGGTAACAAATATAAATACTGATTTATATTTAACTACTTCAAAGGGAAATCCAGGTGGAATTTTTTTTTTTTTTGCAGAAGTATTTAGTGTATTTATTTTTTTAAACAAGAAGCTGTAAAAGCAGCATTTACCAGGGGCTGCTTTGGGCTGGGGAGAGTTGGCTGCCTGATAGCAGGTTGTGCTAAGTTACACTGGCAAGAGGAGCTGCTGCTCATGTGTTTTCTGTTCTGATTGCAAATTCTGGATCTTGAAGGGGGTGGGTTTTGGTTGTAGGTTTGGTTTGGTTTTTTGTGTCTGTGGTTTTTTTGGTTGGTTGGTTTTGTTTGGTTTGGGGGTTTTTTGGTTTGGTTTGGTTTTGTTGTTGTATCACATCTACTAAAACATGGGGCTGAAGCTGTCAACCAAAGTGCTCAGCAGCCCACACAGAAATGCAGCAGAACTGAGAACTGCTGGAAAACCAGAAGCACGTGAAGCATCAGCTTTTGGACTGGCTCAGTTCCTCTGCAGCCGTTTTTAAACTTCCCTTCCACAGCTCCCTCAGCTGTTCTGGGGCTGTTTTGGTGGTAAATTGGAGGAGATGGAAGGGTCAGAAACTTGTCAAATTGAGCAAGACACTTTTTTTTTCTCGATTCTGTGGCAGTAACTGAGTTGTTATGCAAGAAACTGCCACTAAAACCAATATTCCTTTGTCTCCTTGCCCTCATTTCAGGTCATCTTTTCATCTTTGGATATAGTACTTCACACAGAGGCTTTGCTTTCCATCTTGAGTTTTCTCACCTTCAGTGTTCCATCAGGTGGTCTTCCCAGTGCTGATAAATCATCAGACCACAAGCCTCAAACAAAAGAACAGGACACAGGAAGTGCTCTTAGACCAGGTAATGTGGTACTAGAAAGTGCTTGTGTTGATGGCAGCATCTCATCTTCACTCTCAAAGGATGCATTTCAGGTGGCAGCACTGCAGGCTTTGTGGTGGAAGAACGAAGCATGAACAACCGGAAGTGGGGAGAAAATAATCTTAAAAAAAAAAAAAAAAAGCCAGATATTTTTGCTGTTGCTTAATTTTACAAATTCTCCTTACTCAGAGTTAACTTTTCCCTAGGTGGTGGTCTGATTTTTATAATTAAATTTGAATAAAGGATGTTGCCATGAGCAGCCTTGCCAAAGATTCAGTGTCACAACCAGGTACCTTTCCAATCTGAAGGCTCCAAAGGGTGCTTTCCTTGCTGAAAATAAACCTTCTGGGGAAGCCAAGAGAAGTTCTGAACTGAAGGGTGGGGTGTTTATTTTGATCCCTAGTGTTTGTAACCTTGAAGTAGCAGAGTGTTTGCATGGGAGCTCCTTAATGTTTTGTCAGGTCCTGTGTGGTTCATTCTCTTGTTTGTGGTGGTGTTTGTGGAATTCAAGGTTTTCTAATCCTCAGGCTGTTGGGACTGAGTTTACAGTGGTTGGCTGCTACAATTTGTGTTTCTGTAGAAACCTTTCTCAGCCCTTTTGCCTCAACTGGCCTTGCTCCTTGTTCCAGAAAGGAACACTTCTCATGGGAGGTGGTGTTTCAAATACTGCTTCAAATACTTCAAATACTGCTTCAAATAGTTCAAACACTGTGTTCAGCACCCTGCTGGGAACACTGGGTACCAGTGAGGAGAAAGGATGGCGTCTGGGTGGCTTTTTGCCTGTGCTGGTGGCTGTTCATGTGCCAGAAGAAAACTGTGTTAATAAAAGACTTACTTCGTATCCCGACTTATCGATGATCTAGACTTTTAGGGGACTTTACTTCAAAAAAGAGGTTGCTTTTTGAACAGTTCATATGTGTACAAACAAATAATCTGTGTTTTAAACAATGGGCTTATAATGAAGTTCTTGTATGTCTCTTGTGTGTCCTATCCAGTGTCTGGTGATGCAACCCACAATGATATCTGTGAATTAAAACTCACTGCAAAGCTCAATGCATTCAGCATCGCTGTGTGTGATCAGACCTGTAGGATTGCAGACATCAGAATACAAGGTAAGGGGTTTTTAATTTAAATAGTGGGTGAAGTTTAGTTAAATATCAGATGAAATATGTAGTTTCTCTCCATTCACTTCTGAAAGGCCTGTGTGCACTGCACATGTCTTTGCAGTGTGTGTTTGGGTATAGTTTGGTTGTGTGAAATAACCTGCAAGGAAAGGGAATGTTTGACTCGGAAAAAGGAGGTGATTTTTAAAATAGTGGAGTAAAATTAAAAGAAATCAAGGCACTGTGTAATAAATAACACAAACTTGCATTTTTAATAGCAAAATCCTAAGCAGTGTTGGGAATTTTTACTCCAGTCTTAGGGGCAGTTTGTGTTGGCAAATTTGTCACGTGTATTAATGTCCTGACTTCTGTCCCAGGCTTAGCACTGGTTCTTATACAGTAGAAGGCTGGATTCTGAACTATTTTTATTCTTTATACTCAGTAATAATTAATGGGGGTTGTTTTCAGCAGAAGTGTTTATTTAGATATTTGTTGGAGTGCATTTTATTGTTTTCCTTCTTTTGTCTCCAATCAGGAATGGATGCATCTGTAACTATGAAGCCTAAAAAGATTAAAGTGTTCTCCAGGCTTGAGGACATTGTAATTACAAATGTTGATCCCAAAACAGTCCATAAAAAGGTGATGTATTGTGCAGATGGCAAACAAACAAAGACCCAGTTGTTTCAGTGATTTATAGTGACAGCACTGTAGTTTATTTGCTGTGTTGTGGAATCCCAAGTGTGGTGTGATGCACCAAACACTAAGCAAAATTTTATTGGTTAATATCCTTTATCTCAGGGAAGCAAAATATTCTTCCATTTAATATTTAGCTCTATTTAACCACATTTGCAGTGCTGTGTTGAATTGTGAGTAGCATAGGTTAAATATAAATTGGGCTGTGGATAACCAAGTGAGAAGGGACATTCAGTAAAAGGGGTGATTCTGTTTCCTTTCTGCCTGGCATTGCCTGTGCCCAGGTACTGCTGAGAAGTTGCAGTTGCTCTTCTTGGGGAAACATTTCTTGCTTCAGATGACTCCTGGCAGTGTTAACTGCACGGACCTTCTCTTGCAGGCTGTGTCCATAATGGGAGATGAAGTGTTCAGATTTCACGTGTCCCTGTACCCAGACGCCACTGCAGGGGAAGCCTACGCTGACATGTCGAGGGTGGATGGGAAGATGTCTCTCAAAGTGGGCTGCATCCAAATCATTTACCTCCACAAGTTCTTTATGTCTCTCTTGGTAAGACAGCAGTTCAGGTTCCTTTCTTGACTTTACAAGTTTTTTAATAAAATTCAGTGTAATCGCCTCTCCCTTGTGGTGAGCTGGTGTACTGGCACAGGCAAGTATTTTGCTGCAGAAGTGGTTTTTAGAAGTGCTTTTTAGAAGAGTGACAAATAAGGAGAAGGATGACAAAACAAATAATGAGTGCAGTTGATAGCTTTAATAGTATCTTAAAAATAAATAATCAAGCAGTGTCTTAGCTTGTGCATGATTTGAACCTTTTTGTCTTTTGAAACCTGTGTGGTTAATTGAGGAGTTTCATATTTACACCCCAGCTGTACGTTTTGTCTTGATTTTATATTTTGCCTTTGTTTGAGAGGAAGTCATTTTTTTTCATGGCAGTCTTACTTTTTTCCACTCCCCCTGCACAGAACTTCCTGAACAACTTCCAGACAGCCCAGGAAGCCCTGACTGCAGTCACTGCCCAGGCAGCAGAAATGGCAGCTTCCAGCATGAAGGACTTTGCCAGGAAGAGCTTCCGCCTCTCCATGGATGTCAACCTGAAAGCTCCAGTTATCGTTATTCCTGAATCTGCAGCTTCACACAACGCTTTGGTGGCTGACCTTGGCTTAATCAGAGTGCAGAATGAGTTCAAGCTGGTACCTTCAGATGAATCTCCTCTTCCTCCAGTCATTGACAGCATGGATGTGCAGCTGACTCATTTGAAGTTATCAAGGTATATGTGGAGTTTTGCTCGGAGTTGAAAGGTGTTCGTAAAGAAAACCTGTTCATGTTCCATAGTCAGCATTTTTCTGTGATTTAAAGATGATAAGCAATGAAACCATACTATAATGAACAAAAAAACCTCCCCAAGCCAAGTTTAGGAGTGTTTTCAGAGGGACACAGTCTCTGAAACTTCTTGGAGAGAAGGGAATGTCAGGACAGTAACTGAGTTCATCTCAAATGCATCCCTGGGTGTAAGCACATGTGAGCACATATACTGATTTTAAAATTAATAATTATGCCCATATTCTGCTAGATTGCTATGATATTTGGGATTCTGCAACTGCTGAATGTTTTTCCTCTGTGGGTTTCCCTGTCTTTTGTCAGGTGCATCATATCCACAGATTCTCAGCCAGACTCTGAAATTCTGTGTCCTGTGAGTTTGACTTTGCTGGTGCAGAGAAATTTAGCAGCAGCGTGGTATCATAAATGCCCAACAATTGGTATCAAAGGAGACCTGAAACCAATGCAGGTAATACCAGGCCACGTCAGAGCCACATCAAAAGTCACTTCTGCTCAGTACCCAGCTTAATTAAAGAGCTTGTGAACTCATTTCAGTGGGTGTCCTGTAGGAATGTCCAAAGACTTGCAGCTTGATTGTCCATTTATAGATGTGTTAGAGCTTTGATATTGCCTCATGAACAGCTGTGTGTAGCTGTGTGCAAATGGAGTAAAGCCTAGTTTTATTTTCCTGTTGGAGCTGTCCTTTGACTCAATACTCAGTAAAATCAGTGAGGTTGCCTGTTGAGTTGGCTTTTAAAAAACAGATTTAAGTCTTCACGTTTCACCTGTAACATTCAGGTTATTTGAGTGTTTATTAGATTGATAGAAATGAAAAGGCTGTCTCTAATACACAACAATTTAGAAGTATGGGTGATATCTTTGCAGAGGGAGGGCTTTGCTTTTTCTTTTCCTACATTGCCCATATGGGTTTAAATGGGTAAAACCAAGCTGAGGCACCTTATAATTGTTCCTGAGCCCTGGGCCATTCCTGTACCTGTGCTATGGCCAAACACAGCACTGGTGAAGCACAGAGATTCAAGAGATTTAAAAGGAGGACAAACAAAAGTAACCAGATGTAGAAAAAATACTTCTAACACTGTATTATGGCCTAAATGGCTGCTTTTTGTCATTTATTAGTGCTTGGGTTTTTCACAGTTGTGTAATTTTATTATTGGATTCACATTCATTAACTCCTTGAAGGCCTCCTGAAGGACAGTTGCTTTAGTGTAGACAATGCAAGCCTTGGCTTTGATGTTATCTGGTGCTGTTGGGGGATTTCTGAGTTGTTAGAAGTGCATATGTTCATCAGTTACTCATAATTTTAGCAGGCAAAGATCCTTTACAAGACTGGAAAGGGGTTATCATGTGGAGTGTTTTATTTCTTGTAACTCCTGTTCATAACAAGCAATGTTATGCTTGATAGGAAAGATGGGCAAATAATTTCTGTCACCAAAACTGAAGTTTGTGGTTTATCACTTTACAGATTGCACTCAGTGAAGATGATCTGACTGTTATCATGAAAATTTTACTTGAAAACCTCGGAGGGGCTTCTTCCCAACCAACTGCTGTGCAGGAGAACGTCGAGTTTACACAGATCCCTAAAAAAGAGAAAGTTCCCCATGAATCTGGTATGTTTAACTCAAAAGGCTGAGCATGTTCCAAACATCACATTTATCTGAAGCACTTGAATGTGTGCATGTGAATTCTTTTCACTTACAGATGTACTGTGTACGTGAACAGTTATAAACAGGGGTGTGTGCACATACATGGATGTGAGCTCTTGGTGGTCAGAAGTTTTTGTAGCATATTTTTTGTGGTTCTTCCCCTATAGGATGGTATTCTTCAGTCCAGAGCAATGACTCTTCTAAGGTGCAGGTGGTTAAAAAAGAAAAATGCCAAATCACCTACCCCAGAGTGTTAAAGCACAGTTATAACAACTGAGGATAATATGAGTATTCAGACAGTGTGTCAATGTAAACAGTGCATGTCTCTGGATAAAATATTGCTAACACTTTGCCAAAAACGCAACATTCTCACTGTCAAAAAATTGCTGTCTAACTAAAAGTTGAGTTGCTACGCCCTGAGAAGAGCAGGGAGGAAGAGCAGTGCAAACCCCTTGAGCAGATTTGGTACTTTGTGTAGTTCTTCACTGAAGTGAAAGCAGAACTGCAGTAAACTGATGGCAGCTTTTTGAAAGGTTCTTAAACCACTCTGTGCTAGGTCATTTTAGCATGTACTGAACAGAACAAAGTGATGTTGAGGAATTAAAAGTGTGAATTGCCTTGAGGAGTCTTCTGGATTTAGAGCTTTTCCTCTTGTGACTTTGTGATCTTAAAAAAAAAACCCAAACACCAAACCAACCAACAAAAGAACCCCCAAACCGACAGCAAAAATACCCCAAACCCAGTGTTCTGAAGAAATATAAAAATATCTTCTTTTCACTGACAGGTCCTCTTCTGGCTTCTGAACAAAAGAGTGTTTCTGCAGCTCAGTCTTGTGTGGAATGTTACACAACCCTTAAATTTGACTTCAATTTTGAGTCACTTTCCGTAATTCTCTACAACAGTGATAAGAACCAGGTTTGTGACCAAGCTGTTCCCATACAGGGGGGGTGGGCATCTCACATGGGCAGAACTCAGGACAGGAAACCCAAGTTTCATCAGTTGTGTTGGCTTTGCAATGCTTTGTAATACTTGCCTTGTGCAGCTTTGAGGTTTCTTAAGCAGAGCATGTCCTTAAGTTGAAGAATATAGGTGCATTTCCAAAAATCACACTGAAAAATATGACTGAACCAACCAACCAAACCCACCCAGCATTTGATTTGGTCATTCAAACTCTGATTCCAGTTATCCAAAATGAAAATGACCATCTGAAGAGCAGGAATTGCTGGCTCACATGGTGCTGGTTCTGTGCCTGTACGGTTAGTAAGCAGATCCAAGGTGTAAATGCCCCATGCTTTCCTCCTGCATATCCCCAGGTGTGAGCAATCCTGGGCATCTTTTCTGTGCTGAAAACAAAAGAGAAAGATGTGAAATGTGGCCTTATTTTTATGACTTAATACACTTTGTGCAGGTGTGAAGGTGGTTGCTTTGTATGTCTTTGTATCTGGTGAATGTTAGTTGTGTATAATTTTAAAACAGCTCTTGTGCAATCAGCATCACAGGGAAGAAAGGCACTGGGATGGCATTCATTCTAATGCCTTCATATGGTTTCCACTTATTACTGAGGTGTTGCAAATGAGTTAGTGTGATGGGAGTGGAGGGGTCCTCTGGGAGGGGTTTGGAGTTCAGACGGGTTATCCTACAGTCATGCATTCTGAACAACTGCCAGCACTATGGTGAACAAACAACTTCACTGCAGCTCAGCGTGCTGCTTCTGCTTTCCCACTGAATTTCTGGGGCTAATTTGGGCGGTTGAAGGACCGATGACAGCAGCAGGCTAACTCAAATGCCCCAGGGGGGTGTGTTCCCTGCTGTGCTGGGTGCTCACCACCCTCCCGTGTCCCCGTGCAGAGGGCTCAGCTCCCCGAGCACAGTGACAGATTGCGCCTGGGAGAGCTGCGCCTGCTCCTCATGGCATCAGCTGGGGACATGTTCTCAGATGGCTCCATGGATGTCAAAGTTCAGCTCAAGGCCTGCACCTTGGATGATCTGAGAGAGGGAATTCAGAATGTGACTGCAAGGTAAGTGTGGATGCACCAGCAATGGAAAGCCTCCAGCTCAGGAGGAAGATTGTTCCCTTCTTCCGTGCTTTGCTTCGCATGGATTGACAAAACCCATCCGTGCTGTCACACTGTGGCCCCTCATACTGTGTGATTGAGCAATGAATGGTGAAATTTCAATCATGTCAAGCAAGTTTCTACTTTTATATGTTGATTTCCAATGTTTTCCAAACCAAAAAAAAATAACATTGGGAGTCTTACATATTACAGTAAATGGTGTAGAACAGCTGAGTAGAGAGAACCCAGCCAATGTTCTGTGCACTGAAACTCCGCTGTGATCCTTGTGTGCCACATGCACATTCCAAAAGTGTAGTGCACTAATTTGAAATTGAAATTGCTCCTCTCTTAGAAAAGTCTATACCTTCTTATTTCTGGAAGAAACACTGATTGCTTGTATAGTAATTCTTATTTATAAACACTGTGGGGGGGGAAAAATGGCACCGCTTATGCATCCTTGTTTTTCTAGATCCATGTTTGAAATGTTTCTTACTAAACTTGTTTTCCAGAATGATAGACAAGAAAGATGACACACATGACAGTTCTATGATAGATATAAGGTATAAGCAGGATAAAAATGGAACTGAAGTTGTTGCAGTCCTTGACAAGCTCTACATATGTGCCAGTATGGAGTTTTTGTTGACAGTAGCAGATTTTTTCATTAACTCGATGCCAGCATCCTCAACTGAAAGATCTGCACAGTTTCAATTAAAGCAAGTTGCTTCTGGGAAATCCAAGCCAGAAACAGGTCTGTAAAACCAATTTCCACCTCCACCCCCATTCCCCTCCTTTGCAGACTTCACACTGAAAACAATTCCTCCAAAAGCTTCCGAGAGGCTATCTTGGTATCAGACTTGAGAAATGAATTTATTCTTCAAAATGTGTAAATTTGCCACTGACACAGTAGATTGATTTGCTTTTCTGGTTGAAGACTGAAGGTAAAGCATGATGAAACAAGAGACCACTCCTAAAAATATTTTGTTGATGTGAGGTGACTGCTGGGCTTGTCTGAGCTGTGGTGAGACCTCACCTGTGGGGTGTGTTGTCAGGCTGGTTCCCAACAGCCCTCCCTTCCTTTTGGGGACCTTGGCAGAGCACCAGGAGTGACCCTTAGGTTTGATGAACTGCCCTAGTGATGTCAGCAGTTCACTTGCTTTCCTCTTGCCTTGTTGAAGTGCCCGAGGGCTGATACTCCCTCCAGGAAAACAGCACTTGCCAGGAATGGTCAGGACTGCCACACGTGTTTCTGGCGCCAACCCACCATGTCCAGCTTCCTTTGCTTTTCCTGCAGTGCCCTGAGCCTCAAACTGGCTCCTGTTCCCTGGCATAGCTCTGATATTCTGATATTTCCAGCAAGAGTGGGGCAGGAGTAACTCCTGGAGTCAGTCCTGGTGTGCAGGAGGCTCCCACCACACTGCAGTGCCCTCCCAAAGGGACCTGATCCATCACTGGGCTAAAGTGTCTTGCTTTTAACTGGGAGAAATATCATGTGGTTCTCTCCTTCTGTTTGGAGAGCAAACATATTCAGACAAGAAATTCTGTATGGATAATTTGGGTTTGATTTGTAAGTGTTCCCTCTAAAGAAGGGAGCCACTTTAGGTGTTGAGCCAGAAAATAACAATTTCCAGCTTGGCTTTGTAGAGCCAGGGCTTAGGCTGACTTCAGTGTACACAGTTAATCCTGTCCCTCTGCAGCACTGAGCAGTTTGCTGCTGAGTTCTGAACACTCAGATTCTCATTTTCACACTATATTCCTATAAAAACTGAGACATTATTTGTTAAATTTCTACCTCTGTAGTTGGGTAGCAATTTTCATGCACGGTTTCAGTGTTATGTACATGATAATGCTTCCAAACCGTTTATATTCAAGGGGTTTTTTTTAAATTTGTTTTCACAGAAACACCTGTACGGCCAAATATGACAGTACAAGCTGTGATTCTGGACCCAGAAGTTGTGTTTGTTGCTAATTTGACCAATGCTGATGCTCCTGCCTTAAAAGTTTCCTTCCAGTGTAACTTTTCTCTGACATCTGGAAGGGATGCACAGAGGATGACTGCTCAAGTGAATGGCTTCAAGGTGTTGGCCTGTGCCTTTCTCAAGGAAAAACAAGACAAGAATATTACTACTGTAAGAAAAGCCCTGGTTTTTTCACTGTAAAATCAGTCTGTGTGTCGGGTTTTGTCTGGTTTTTAAGCATTACATCAGAAACTTTTATTTCAGTATCTTTTAACCTTCCAGGATAAAATTGCTGTTGTGCAAATTGGGATGCTGGAATATATGGCAGTATATGAAAAACTGCTGCTCTGAACCTTGTTGTTACCCTGTGGGATCAGCATCCCCTGGGCCTATGGAATGAAAAAAAAAATACAAGGCCTTTTGAAAAGTTTAAGATTCCAGGAGTCACCTTAATAATCCAATGGTGTTTTTCACTCAGGTGTTACGACCCTGTTCCTTGGTCATGGAAAATATGGTGCATGTCTCAGGATTGCAGACTGTGGCAGTTACAATAGAAGAACTTATTATTAAGGTAAGATCATTAAAACTGTCTTTGGAAGAACAGCTCGTGTTTCTCAAACTGTAGCTCGGGTTTTGGTGGTTAAAATTTGCACTTTCCCCGTTAGTTTAATTCTAGAAATAAGCATTTTTAGAGCTGCTCTGTGTGGTAGAAAAAGTCATGATGTGTTCCTTGTGTTGACAGTCCCTTCACCAAAAAGGCCTCATTTAAATACTTCATATTTTAGGATTCCTCCCACCACTTTCTTCCCAAGTTTTGAAACAATCCTTCCCCCTGCTGCCACCACCATTATTTTTGTTGTCAGTCTTACAAGAAGGCACAGCCCCCAAGTACATGGATAATATAAGACATGATTTCCAGAAGGGTACACCATGAGAAATACCTTGTTCTTAATAGGTAAACCAATAATTGTGTCTCTGGTGAAGCTATTTCTGGATGTGAGCTGCTGATTCTCCTGTAAAAAGTTCACAAATAGGTGTTTGTGGTAGGAAAAGGCTTAAAAACTGTCAGTCCCTTGTTCCCGAGGCAGAAATCCTTTGACAGTTGTACTATGGGGGTACAGACTTCTGCCAACAGGCTTTTGTGAACACCTCAGGGCCCTTAAAATCCAAAGAATGCTTTCCAGAGTGGTAGGGAAAAGGTGGATCTTGGCTGCTGTCCCGGCAGTGCCACAGCTTGGCAACAGTGAATTCCAGTCTGAGAATTTAGTTCTTGATCCTGTGGGATTGTGAGGAAGCAATTGGGACGTTTTGTAGGAGAGGAAAACAAGAGGAGGTCCATGAATGGATTCTGTTCCTTGGAATTTAAGTTGCATCTCTTATGAGGGCCTGTAATATTTGCTGCTTCCATTTATAATAGACTTCATATTTTAATAAAAGGGTTTTTTTCTTTTGCTCAAGATCTCGCCCATAATTCTGAACACTGTCATTACCATTATGGCTGCCATAAAACCCAAGGCACCAGAGGAGGATTCCAGAGGAGCAGCTGAAGTTTCTGAGAATCTGTGGCGGGTGAAGCCTGTGGATGAGTGCAATGCTTGGTTCCTCGGTGTTGATGTAGCCACAGAAGCAACAGAAACTTACAAGGACCGTGAACAAGTTGTGAAACAGGAGAAGTTTGACATCGTGGTGAAATCAGTGCAGATGACCTTGGAGTGTGGGCTGGGACATCGCACCGTCCCTTTGCTGTTGGTGGAATCTGCTTTCTCAGGGGTCCTGAAAAACTGGTCCTCGCTGATGGAGGTCACTGCTGACACGTCGCTGGAGGTACGTGGGATCCAGCTGTTAGCAGTTTCAAACTCTTCTGCATGCTTCCTGATGTTCAAGTAACTTTTCAGTACACTTGGTCTGTGCTAAATTAATAACAGGTTTAAATTGTAATGCTCTTAGGAGCTCTTTAGCGGTCAGGCAAGTGTGACCAAGCAACACGTGGTTTTCACAGGAAGTTTGCAATCAGTGGTAGATTTTAATGGCAGTGGCTGTGTGCAGTAATCTGGCCCTCTCTGTTTCTCTACTGTTTTTTCATGTACAAGTTTTGCTGTATGAACAATGAGCTTGGCTTACTTAAATATTCATATTGCTGCCCACTTTTCCTTGTTCGTGTCGCACCGAGTTCATTGGTAAGATAGAAACTACACTCTGTTCTCAAAATGAGATACCATTCCAAGGTGATACAGTCTAATGGAGGCAGCAGGTTAAAATTCCATACAGCCACGTGTGCAGCCTCATGGTAGTGTTACCAGGATGTCTGGTTGCTCTCAAAGCAAGCCAGAAAATGAACTCTTCAAAAATGATGTAAAAATTTATTATATATCACATTTCTGTGTATTAATTTTTTAAGCTGTTAAAAGTTAATGCTAGAACCTCCAAAATGAATTGTTTTCTTATGAATGTTTTACCTAATTATTTCTATTGGAAGGAACTTGTTTTTTTTATTTTTATTTGATTTTGATTATGTCTTTAGATTCATTATTACAATGAAACCTATGCAGTGTGGGAGCCACTTATCGAGCGAATTGAAGGAGGAAAGAAGCAGTGGAATTTGAAACTGGAGGTATGTAAACTACTCAAAAATATGTGAAATGGTTTGAACAGGCAGCTGTTTTTAAATATCTTCAAAGTTTTGTGTGGCAGAACATTGACCTTTTAAATGCTGTTCCTTTGAGGGAGATGTGCAGTTTCACTTGGGGAAAAAGAATCAATCTTTAGACATCTTAAGGCTTTTCTGAATAATGTTAATTGTCCAGTGCATGGACAGAAAGCAACTTGCCTTCAGTGTTGGTATAAAATTTCCATGTTTGTTTAAGGCATTTGAGCTTTACAAGTAAAGTAGGGTTTACTTTTTCTGGTGAATTGTCAAGTGTAGGTCGAGTTTTTTCCTGTGTTAACACAGGAGAAAGGAACTTCTGTGTTCATAGAGGCCCAATGAACTTTCTCTTTCAGATGAAGACTAACCCTGTCCAGGAGAGAAGTCTGATGCCTGGGGATGATTTCATCGTTCTTCCTGAGCCCCAGACTGCTGTTACCATCTCCTCCAAGGACACAATGAACATCACAATATCCAAGTGTTGTCTGGCTGTTTTCAGTAACCTGGCCAAGGTAGTTCCAACGGGCAGAACGGGCTGAATTGTGGGGTTCTGTAGGAAGTTCTGGTTTTTCTTTAAAAAAGAACTTTATTGGCTGCCAGTCACAGGCCAGTGGCTGTTCTGCAGCTCTGACAGGTCGTACCTGGAAGGGCTGAGGAGTTTTACTGGCATTAGCCCTTTTGGGATTGAGAAAAAGGTGGTGCTGAGCTTTCTGAAGAAGCAGCTTCTGTGTCAGAGCAACAAATGTGCTTATGCAGGACTTAAGGAAGGGTCATACATGCAAATGAAAATGAAACGCTCCAATAAACACAACTATATCCTGCAAGACTCTTTCTGAAATATTAAAAGCGAAATTTACTTTCCTCTCCAGTTTTTCTCCTTTAATGAAAGTGGGCATTTTAGGATTGGCCTTAAAATTGTAGGAGTAGAATGTCCAGTGGGTTAAAAATACCTTATTTTTCTTGTGATAGAAGGTGTGCTTATGCATGGTCTAGGCTGCTTTTCCCTCCTCTTTTTAGAGGGTGAAGAAATTTTGGTTACTAAACCAAACTATTTTTACAAAATGTGACTTATGCCTGTTTATTTTTTGATTCCAAATTAAAAGCAGTTTTGCAGCAGTTCTGTAAGTACTTACTAATACTGTAAGTCTCTGCTGGCAGTCAGTTTTCATGGCTCTGTGGAACCAAGCGATTGTTTGTAAGCATAAGTTGTGATTGAATATGAAGCATGTACATGTTCCATGTCCTGGGGACTTCTCTGTACCGGATCTTACGTTTCTCTTACAACCCAAGAACTGGAAAAATGCCCTGTGAGGAGCAGGAGTGCTTATTGTAGCAGCAACGTGTACTGCAAATCACAGAATAAAATGAAGTTCTCTGGAAGTGACCTTCACTTCCCTGAAATACTGTTATACAAAGCATAGGTCTTGCTATATGTATATAATTTTCCCATCTTTTTAGTTGCTGGGAACTGCCTTTCTGGATATGTTCTATTTATGTATGTGTGACAGTTTTTATTTGGTGTTAATTCCAGGCATTTTCTGAAGCGACTGCCTCCACGTTTGACTATTCCTTTAAGGAGACAGCCCCTTTCATAGTGAAAAACGCCCTGGGGGTGTCTCTCAAAGTGCTCCCCAGCTCCAGTTTTCGGATAGTTGGTTCCACTGGCAAAGAGAACACGAAGGAGATCGAGGTTGGTCAGAGCATGGAGCTGGAGTACTCTGCGTTTGAGGCACCCCAGCGAGGCAGATTATCTGCCCTGCACCGACAGGAGAGCACCCTCTTCTCCCTGAACTTAGGTACTGTGCTGGGGAGCACTGCTTGGGGCAACATCAACAGGGGCAAATCAGTGTGGGGGAAAGGCATGCCAGTACATGGGGTTGGAACCATTTTTGAATACTGTTGTCAGTTAAAAAAACCCCCCTCAAAACAGCTACTGGAGTTCTTAAAAGCATGTAAAATTCCTTTTCTCCAGTTTTCCAGAGAGTAAAAAGAACACTAATTTTTCTTCCCCCTTTGGAGGAGTGGACATGCTGGTGGAGTCATGGCTAGATCGTGTTAGACCCTGGACACAGCCCTGTGCATTCCAGCTCCTGTTAAACAGGATCTTCATTTCTCCTACTTTCTTACTGCTCTTTGGCTTCCTGTAGTTACCCAGCTACCGCAGAGCAGTTATGTTTCTGGTTTTTAGCTTTGCCAGAAAACACTCCCCAGGGAGTGGGATACAACAGCTACTAATACATGATCTCCTGAGTTTTTCCCTTTCCATCACATCCCATCTGAAGGTACTTGGCCTTGATACAAAGATCATGTTCTGTGTTGCGTTTCAGTAACTCACCCAATGAATACCTTTGTTTACTGCTTGGGGTATTTCCTGGGCTGTGTGTGAATCAGGATCTGAAGTTAGAATCTTGAGGAGTCTTTGCACTTTAAAGCTTTCCTTCAGTGCTACTCAAGTACCATTGAAGGTGCTTTTGCCAGGGAGTGCTTTGATCCTGGCTGTTGCTGTTGAACTGCAGGGAACTGTTGCAGTGGGAAATGGCAGTGTGATCTGTTTGGGCTAACTGAGCTCTTGGGGTGTGTTTGTGGCTCAGAACTGCAGGGCTACAAAGACGCCCTGAGCATTCCGGTAGCCAAGCCGGGCCGGCGGCTGTACAACACCAGGAGCCTGGCTGGCCCCTCCAGCTCCATCATCCTGCAGATTGATGCCACAGAAGGGAACAAGGTCATCACTGTGCGCTCCCCTCTGCAGGTAAAAACCAGCCCAGAGCCCAGAGCACTGCTCTGCACTGGGTGACTGGGCCTTTCTTCCTCAGTGCCTTTTCTGAGGTCTTTTTGAGGAACTTTTCCAAGAAGTTACTCAAAGGCCAATTATTAAGTGTTTTGCTGTATTTGTTACATGAATTTTGATCTGCATTCTGTATGTGTGTGTCTTTCTGATAAACAAAAAATCTATTTCCTTTTCCTTTTCCTTTTGGGTTTCTAATCTCCTCAACATCGAGGATACTTTTTATGCAACTTGGCATTTTAAGCATGTTTTTCAGTTCATGGGACTTGAAATGAAGAGTTTTCTCCTATGCTTGTGTATTGTCTCCTTCAGAATTGTATTTTGTTTTAAGACACATAAAGTCTGTTTTCTAGAGGAGTTTGGTTAAATCTGCTACTGCTGTTTTTCCTTCTTGTTATTCAACCTTTTTCCTTTAGAAATTTGTACCGCAGAAATGCAATGAAAACTCTGCCTTCTGATTCCAGATCAAGAACCATTTCTCCATCCCATTTACGATCTATAAACTGGCTAAAGGCTCCAGGGTGCTGGAGGAAATTGGCATCTCCAGGCCAGAGGAAGAATTCCATGTTCCTTTGCATTCCTACACGTAAGCTTTGCTTGTTCTCCAGGGCTGATCTCTGAGGCGCAAACACAGCATTGCTGGGGGAGCTTTAATGTGCGCTTGGAAATCTTCCTGACCAAAATGTGCACTTGGAATTCTTTCTGACCAAATCCAAAATGCTGCCTTTTCACAAGTGCTGTGAGGAGCAGCTGAGGGAGCTGGGGTTGTTGAGCCTGGGGAGGAGGAGGAGGCTCAGGGGGGACCTCATCACTCTCTGCAGCTTCCTGACAGAAGGGGAGACCCAGGGAGGGTCAGGCTCTGCTCCCAGGGTGACCCAGGTTGGACTTGATGATCTCAGAGGTCTTATCCAACCTGCTCGATTCTGTGATTGTGTGATTGGGTAGTGAGTGTGCTGCAAAAGCACTGTAGAGTGTCAGCAGTGACTTTAAAGTGGGTGAAGTTGTCAATCCCAACCTGTTGTGTCCCGTTTCCTGCCCTCTCCCTGCAGGTGTCACCTGTATGTCCGGCCCACGGGGGTGTTCGAGGGGCAGTTCAGAGAGTCCACCACCTACATTGCCTGGAGGGAGGAGCTGCACAGGAGCACCGAAGTGAAGTGCTTGTTGCAGTGCCCAGCCGTGGAGTCAAATTTCCTGCCTCTGATCATCAGCTCAACAGCTGTACCTGATGAACTCAGTTTTATTTCACCCTATGAAGAGGAGTGGGATCCTGCCTACATTATCCACCTTTACCCCACACTCACTGTGAGGAATCTTCTGCCATACTCCGTGAGATATTTACTGGAGGTAAGTTTATTTTAGGGTTTATTTGTAAATCCTTTACTCAGTTTTAAGTAAGACTGTATTTACTAAGAAGTGCAGGTGAATGTAGTGTGGAAGATAATGAGTGTTGGGGTTTGTATTTTATATTGTCAATGAATGAGGCAGATCATGGATCGATTCTGGGATTTTTGGGGATTAATTTTTTTGAATTTGGACGTACCTGACCAACTCTGCCAGGTACTGAGATACCTGAAATGTGCATCCTGCAAGGGAATAAAGTGCTGGGTTTTGAATGCCTTAATTTTGTTTATTAAAATCCCAATTTGCCTCTTCCGCTTGTGCTGCAGGGCACAGCAGAAGCCCGGGAATTAACCGAAGGGAGCGCCGTAGACGTTTTCCATTCCCGAATCAGCGGAGAAATAATGGAACTGGTGCTGTTAAAATACCAAGGCAAAGACTGGAATGGGCATCTTAAAATTCACGAGGGGATGCCTGAGTTCTTCTCCGTGTGTTTCACCTCCCACTCTGCAGCGTCCATGACGGTGGACGTTTACATCCACACCAGGAGGCTCGGCAGCCGCATGGTCCTGTCCGTCTTCAGTCCCTACTGGATCATCAACAAGACCTCCCGTGTCCTCCAGTACCGAGCTGAGGACACTCATGTGAAGCATCCAGCAGACTACAGAGACATTGTTCTGTTCTCATTTAAAAAGAAAAACATCTTTAGTAAGAATAAGGTATGCTGCTTATAAAGTCCTGCTCTGAGGGGGAAAACGCACAGACATTTCCTATAAAGGGTATTTTTATGTAGTTTTTAAGTCTAAAGGCTCTCATCTGGCAGTTGGTTTCTTTGGTACTTTGACATTTAGAATGCACACTGTAAATGTGCTGCTTTGTGTTAAACACATTTCTTCAGTTTGGATTTTTTCTGGTGTGCTGTTTGCATGGTCAAGTGAAGAGTACTGCAGCAGAAGATTTCTTCAGAAAAAATCCTTTCATTCCTTTTAAATAATTTTTCTTACCCAACAGTAGTTGAAATAATGGTTGTAGAAACAGTGTTTATTTCCTCCCAGCTCATCAAGTTTGTGAGGCACCACAAAATGTAGGCTTTTTCCCATGTATGTGTGTGCTGCCATGAGCAGACCATGAGTGCTCCTCTGTTTGCTGCCTTGTACTGTAACATCTCCAGAACTCAGGCACAGACTAATCACAACATCAATAGTGATACTATAGGTATATGTATAGATAACTGTAAGTTACCTAAAATTACAGAGGTTTTGAAAGCACTCAAGTGTTGTGTTCATACTGCTCTGTGTGATGTGGTTGCACTCCATAATGCACGAGCTGTAGAATTACAGTGCCTTCATTGCATTACTTTGCACGTTGTTGGTTTTTTGTCTGTAGATCCAGCTCTGTATTTCAACCAGCACTTGGTCCAGCAGCTTTTCCCTTGATACTGTAGGAAGCTATGGATGTGTCAGGTGTTCAGCTAATAACATGGACTACCTGGTAAGATGTATTTCTGTGCTTTGGGAAGCTCTCTTGGGGTTCTTTAGCCCTAACTTTTTTCCCTCATTAAGGCCTTTGTTTCACTTCTTACACTGCTTTTAAAGCATGGAAATATTTAACATTTAGTGTAATGACATTTATACCCCAGCTATTCAGGTCTGCACGTGGCAACAAGTAGTTTGACCAACAGAAGTTTCAGTTCATAATTCAATTCATAAACGTGGTTTGTATAACAAATGTGCAGTTCTGGGCTGTTTGAAAACACAGTGGTGAATGTGCATAATGGGGAGAAGAGTTCCTAGCATAATGCATAATTGCAGGTGTCCATGTCTTCAGTCCTTATCCAAGACTACATTTCCACAACTAAGCAGAATAAAGATATATGGGGAGTTGTGTTTCCATATACTCTTTAGCTGTTTTCTGATGATAATGGTCAATTTAGGTTGTCTTTATTTACTCTAGAGGATTCCTGTTGGGTTTTCCCCACAAATGCTACAGCTACAGAATGCTACAGCTAAAATGTCACTTGACTATTGTGCTAATTGTGTTGCATAATTTGCTGACTTGACTCCATGTCATTTGGTTCTTTTATTTCGGGTGTGTCAGATTTTGTAATTGTAGTGTTGGCTTTTCCTTCTTTTCCATCCTGACTTTTCTTCTAAGCTTGCTGTTGATTGTTTGATCAAACTGTCCTTGTTTGACAGGTTGGAGTCAGCATCAAAATGAGCAGTTTTAACCTGACCAGGATAGTTACCTTCACTCCATTCTACACAATAGCAAACAAATCTTCTCTGGAACTTGAAGTTGGAGAAATTGGTCCCGGTGGCTCTCTTCCAACTCATAGATGGAATTATATCTCAGCTTCAGAGGTAATGTTTCGTGTTTTTCCCTTTGGATGTTGTTGCAGACAAACAGCTGGTCTCGAGGTGTCACTTGAGGAAGGAGCAGTTCTCTTATGGGAGCTGTCACTTCTGAGGGATGACCTGGGTGCTTCACGCTCAGGGGAACTTGAGCAGCACAGGCTGCATATGTTGGTACATTGATGAAGTGCTTCAGTTTGGGTAACTCAGTAAATGTAGCTGAGATGTTCAGCAGTAGCTACTTGGGTAAGAACTAAGGCATGTGAGATAGTCACAAACCTGTTTGTTTTACTGCTGGCTCACTGTGCTGAACACAGGAACTGTTCAATTCACGTGCATTTCTTGTTCCACAGTGTCTTCCATTCTGGCCTGAAAGCTCATCTGGTGAACTTTGTGTCAGAGTAGTTGGCTACGAGAGCCCATCCAAACCATTCCTGTTTAACGCCCAGGACAATGGTACCCTGCTGAGACTGGAAGAACTGGTGAGACTGACTGTGTTCTCTGTTCTAACCTCCACTTTAGCCCTCTGATACTTGACTTACCAGGATCATCGAGATCAAAACTGTGTGTACACTGCCCTTGAATTCTGAGGCATTAAAAAGGCTGGGAATCGAGTTTGCAGTGTTGTTGATGTTGCCATAGCTGTGTAGCCAAGGGGATTTACTTGTGTTAACCCTGTAAGAAGATGAACAGCTCTCTTGGGTTCAAATGGTGGAATGGTAAAATGGTTAGACTGCACCTCTGACATCTGGGGTTTTGGCAGAGGGCACGTCTTGGGTTCCTTCAGTTTGTTTAAGTAGTTATCCTAAAATGAATAGCATTTTTTGTTTTCTTGATAATCCACTGCATCAAATATCTTGCACATGCACTGGAAAGCCATTAGGAGAAAAGAGTCAGGATGAATTGTTTAGAGATTTAATGAGCAGAACTTTTCTGCTCAGTTTGTTAATGTGCTGTTGCTATCATTGCTGTATTTTACAAACTTACACTGAAGTTTATCTAGACCTTCACATTTTTAAGGAATATGCAGGAACCTGCAATGTTAAATGGGACTAGGTTTTGTAACAGAAAGTGAGGGAATGATCACCTTTACTTTTTACTGAACTTGGCCAAATGAAATAATTAATAAGAATCCGTAATTTTACTATTTTTTCAATTATATCAAAAAATATTTTGTGGATGCTACCGATACCTGCCTCAAGTCAGCAACCAATGTGTTTGAGCTTGCTGTTACTGGATAATGCAGGGGACATTTCCTGATTTCATTTGTAAGAGGCCAGTGAAAGACTGATCTAACAATAGCAGTTTAGTCTGTTCTAAATCGAATTTATGTGTAGAACAAATACTGGACTTTGTCTAACTCCTTCTCCAGAACGGGGGCTTGCTGGTGGATGTGAATGTTTCTGAGCACTCGACTCTCATAAGCTTCTCTGATTACCATGAGGGAGCTGCCCCAGCCCTGATCGTGAACCACACCCCGTGGGACTCCCTCAGGTACAAGCAGAGGTAGGTGACACAAACTGCTCACCCCTGATGGTTTAACCAGGGGTGCCCTTTGGGAAGAAAGTAGTTCCCTTTCACCATTATGGTACCTTGAAAAATAGGTAAAACCCCTTTTTCTTTCTCATGTTCCTTTAATGAAGTATTTTGTCTTCCTTTAAACAGTCTTCATAGTTTGAGACAGTGGAGGGAATCAAGTGGGAGTGTAAATGCAGGTTCACCAAGAGCTGGTGCACCTCCAGCTGGCCTTGTTTGGGGTGGATGGCCTGGATCCTTCACCCCTCACCCTGGAGGTTGGAGGGGTGGAGGATTTAGCACTGGGATTTGCTTGCTCCCCTCCCACCACTGCTCCTAACCAGTGAATGCTGGCATCTGCTGCTTTTCCTTTCCCCTGCAGTGGATTACGAGAGGAGATGGAGTTGAAACCAAGGCAAGTGTGCCTGTTTGCCTGGACAGATCCAACTAAACCAAGAAAATTGACTTGGGGCTACAGCCAAAATTTTGGTGAACATGACCTACTTAAGGTAAATTCAGAAGGGGAGAAGTAAATGCTGAACCAATCTAGGACTGTTACAAGGTTAACACTATCTGGGAGAAAGCTTCATCAGTAACTTCACATCTGTCTTGTCCTGTAAGAGACCTTTGAGCCTCCTGTCAAGCAGCAAGATTTTGGATGTTTGGATTAATATATTCAGAGGATCAGACACAAACTGCAGCTTGCATTTGCTCTGGTTTTTGTGAATATGGAAGAAGGAGCAGCAAGTGTAGGAGCTGTGGAAGTATCTAAATAGTTGAGAGGATGAATAATTCACCAGCTTTCCAGCAGTGCTGCATTTGCTTTAAGTATCTCCCTAAAGATGGAGAAACCCCCCACTGTTGTGACTCTCACTTCCTATGGGAAATGCTTGCTTGGAGCAGAGAATCCTGAAGTGCTCACCAAGAGCTATTTCCATGTTTGTAACTCATACAGAACTAAACCAGGAAAACGTGTGAAGTGGGGGCAAAATAATAATGACCCAGGTGGAAAATGACTGAGAGGAACAGGGGCAGTGTGACTGGAAGCAGAGGTAACTCTGGGATCAGACAGAGCAGGGGTTTTGTTGGGAAATGGGAAGCAAGCATTCCTGGAGGAAGGTTCTTCTCGCTTAACTGCAATGTGGGCTGTGCTGTCTGTCTCTAAATAGCTGCCTGCTTGTACCTCACACTACAATCTGAACTCTTCACAGGTGCTTTGTGTGTTGGCTGGGCATAGTTAAGAAAACTGCAAGGTATTAGTAGCTAAAAGGAGGGACAGAAAATCAAGTTTGTGTTTCAGTTTTCCTGGGAATGGGTTTAATTCCACTCAACTGATCTCAGTTAATCATCTCCAGTCAGCTTTGCTGTATAAACACATTTTTGGGTCAATTTTTTTACATTTAAAATGTTTTTAGTTTGCACCTGGTTTCCTGGCTCTATAATTATGGTTACATTCATGATTATTTGAGGCTTTTGAAAAAAGGGCTTTAATTGTCTTAATTTTTCCTCACAGATTAAAAAATAAGGAATATCTGCATTTGAAGTGCAGAGATCTTAACAGTTGTCTGCTTTTACTGTTTTGTGGTTTATAATTTATTGCCTTCTTTCCCATTACCTTTTGCTTTGCTGTGAAGGCCTTTGTTTCCTCTTGATTTCCAGTATTATTCTAAACCACAAATACTGCTGGAATATTTAGTTCACAAAAGGGGAAAAAGCCTCTCTTTTCCTTTATTACATGCTAGTGCTACAACATTGTGTTTTAGTTGATACCTGTTGTTGTTAGCTCTAGTAATTCTTTGTATAATTACTGATTCGTCTTTATTAAATATGTGCTGCTGATGTTGGTGATAACTCACAAGGAAATAAAGAATAGCAAATATTTAAAACCTAAGTGCCCTGAATGTTCAGGATGGAAAGCCAGAAGATTTTTGCAGTTAAGTTTTAGACATTTTTGCTGTGAAAAGTAACACTTAAATTCCAAATTGGAATATCCCAACCTCCCACTTGTTTTCAGAGTTAGGATACAAGATGCAACAAATCATAATGAGAAAGTAAAACAAACAAGGAAAGCACTGAGTTCTGCTTTGTGTGTGTGTGCAGAGCTGCTCAGAACTGCCAGCAGCAGGCTGGATTTACTGATGGAATGCACTTTTCCCCCACTGCAGGATGACTGTGGCCAGTTCCCCTACAATGCCAACACTCAGATCCACTGGGTGTCCTTCCTGGACGGGCGTCAGCGGGTGCTGCTCTTCACTGATGACGTGGCTTTGGTCTCCAAAGCCCGCCAGGCAGAGGAGCTGGAGCAACCTGACCAAGAAATAAACCTGTCCATCCACAGCCTGGGGCTTTCTCTGGTTAACAATGAAAATAAAAAAGAAATCTCTTACATAGGAATTACCAGGTACTGCATGTGGAAGTCTAAATGCTCCTTCGAAAAATCAAAATGTGACAGCTTGTTATAATTTTAGGACTAGGGTTGAAAGGGACATATTTCCAATTTAGTTAAGTGGAAGCTTTTTAATTAAAGATAAGTTTTGCCTATACCCCTGTTGTGAAATTAGAACCAGTAGGATTTAACTGCCTCCTTTTTTTGGCTTGTATTAAAGAAATAGGTTTTTTTTATCCTGAGAAATTAGAATAGTATATTTTACACTGTTTGCACGCACAAGAAGAGTATAAGGGCTCAAATTATTAACATTGTTATTTGTCCTGCAGTTCTGGTGTTGTTTGGGAAAGGAAACCAAAGCACAAGTGGAAACCATTTAACCAAAAGCAAATAAACCTGTTGGAACAAGCCTATCAAAAGTATCTCTCTAAGACAGCTTTCCAAGGTCCTGGTTGGCATAAACTGGACAGCAACACCGAGGTATGTTTGGGGTTCAGTGTTTCTTGGCACAACATGTGCAGCAGCTAAAATGGATTTCTGCTCTAGGTGCTGTTTTAGGAGAAACAGAAAGCAATCTTTTTAACTGAACAGTTACACATTTTACACAGTACAGTGTTTCTGTACTGGGGTGATCCTGAGGCAATACTGAGGCATTTCCAGACCTGTGTTATGAAGTAAAAATCTCGAAGAAGTTTGGTTTTGTGTGGTAGAGGAGGTTGCTTGGTGTGTGCATGCTAGTTGTGAACCTGTATTCACACCGAGGTACCTTAAATTCTTTGTAGAAACCTTAGTTTTAGCTTCCTGGGAAGCTGCAGTTTCCATTGCTTGAGATGATAGAGGAGCCTGGCGTGTTCAGACTCTGGAAATCAATTCACTTACCTGATCTTTCTCAGACATTAATTGTACATGCCTGTCTTCCATGCATAAACTTAATGTATTTAAATGGCCAAGTTCAACACAGGCTTTTATAATACGGTAATCAGGCTCGTTTTCTATATCATCCTTTCATTTGCAAATCATGCATATCCCCTCAGCTGTCTGAACACTGAGGTTTTGTACATGCCAGTGGTGCGTTTATCAAACCTTGCATCTGTAGCTCATTACATTTGTCTCCAAATAAAGGAGAGCTTTTTCTTTCTTCCTATTTCAGGATCAGGTTGAAAGCATCAGGTGGGAAAGTAGTGAGCTGTGTGTAAATATCTGTAATTATCCAGTGTAATACAGAACTCATGAAGAAAGTGTTATTTGGATGGCACAGAGGTTTCTGCTTGGGGACAACTAAAGCTACAATTGAATGTCTTTGTCAGACTGACTTGTGGTTTTTGTTGCTTTCCATGCAGAGAATGTGTGGAGTAATCCAGTAGCCATGTGATCAGGTCAAGGAATAAGGAAAACCCCAGGTTTTATTTGCTGGCCTCTTTACCAGGAACAGAACAGCTGATCATCTCTCAGTCTGTGTTAGCTCTGCTTCCTTGCATTTGCAGGTGAATTTCAGTAAGTTTCCCATGGAAATGCGTCTGCCAGTCCGGTGCAGCATCCGCCGGAACTTCCTGTCGGGAATTCAGGTGGAATTCAAGCAGTCCCCTCACCAGAGGAGCTTACGGGCTCAGCTGTACTGGCTGCAGGTACTGCCCTTCCTTCCCTGTGTCTGCACTGAGCCCGCAGGGAGGCTGGGATTTGGTTCATCTGTGCCAAGCAGTGTCTCCAGATCTGGGGCATGTGGTGCTCACGTTTGGTTTTCTGTTGGGCTGAGGGCAGTTTGAGTGCTGCAGTCAGTGTGGGTGTGACCCTCTGGACCCATCCCCTGTGCCATGCTGCCCACTGTCTGAGCTTTCAGAGCTGATGGTGCCATTGACAATAAAACTAGAGCAGTCCCTTCACTCTGCCCTGCTCCCCCCAGATATGGATGACATTCTTCTTCAACACAACCTCAAGCCTTCTAAAACCAAAATTGTGTTTATCGTGTCACTAAAATATCCCTGTGATGATGCAATCATGTTTTAGGTGGATAATCAGTTGCCAGGATCGATGTTTCCTGTTGTGTTTCACCCTGTAGCCCCTCCCAAGTCCATTGCTTTGGATTCAGGTAAGAAGCAGCCCATGGCAGTATCAGATTTATTCAGCCAAGTAGCAACTTGGCATTTTATTTTTGACGTATTCTTAGCTTTTTTTTTCTTCTGTTTAGAACCAAAACCCTTCATTGACATCAGTGTCATCACCAGATTCAACGAGTACAGCAAAGTGCTGCAATTCAAGTGAGTTTAACAGTGCGTTGTCACACAATTTTAGGGATTTAATGTGTTTTAAATATATTTTAGAAGGGAACCTTGCTCTACAGTTTGTTCTCCTACCCAAACAACTCTTAACTTTTGGCTGAATTTTTAAATGTCTCCCATGAAAAAACATTGGTTTAAATGGAACTTGTTTTTAAAAAGCAGGGGCTGACCACATGATGGGGCTGTTATGTAAATTCTTTGATAATCAGAATATTTCAATCTTGTAGTGCAGTATCAGAGTTGTGTGTCCCTGTCTGGTCAGTGCTGGGTGTTTGGTGCTCCATCAACAGACGATTTCAAGTGGCCCAGTACAGTATAAAAGGTTTGTTAGTGAATTTGTCTGTGTCTGGAGTATCTGCACTAAAAACGAGACAGAAACTTTATACTGATGGTTTTTAATGCAAATATCTGTACCCAGCTAGTGTGCATGTAATATTTGAGGATGGTGGATTTTACTAAAATAAATATTCAATAATATGACTTGAAGAGAGGCACTTGGAAATGTGTTGTTCAGGTTATGCTCTCCATGAAGGACCTGGAATTGTAATGTGGGAATGGAGGAAGTATTTGGTGATGGTTTTCAGGTAAATTTTGGAAGTATTAGGGCTGAATAATCACAGTGATGTAGGTTTGTGTGGTCAATAAGCATTTCTGAGGTACATTGACAGTTGATACTGTAGATTGTGAATCCTGCAAAGCTCCAGTTGTGTAGGGCAAGCGTGGGATATTTCAGTTCAACTTCTCAATATGCACGTTTGGTTTTCCCATTTTAGGTACTTCATGGTTCTTATCCAGGAAATGGCACTGAAAATTGATCAGGGATTTTTAGGAGCACTTGGTGAACTTTTCACTCCATCTACAGACCCAGAAGCTGAAAGACAAAGGGTAATGTGTGAGAAGAATTGATTTTTGCTGGAACCTTCATGGTTCTAGTGTTGCAAGTTCCTGAAAATTTCAGTTTAAATAAGTGAATTTGCATTTCACAAATGTGAATTAAGGGACATAATAAGATAGTTTTCAATTGGTATTGGTATTTCTGTTAAACATTTTCAGATGTTCTGTATAAAAATTGTAATTTTGTGAGGAAATAAAAAATATCACAAAGAACCTATGGAAGTGATACCTTAAGTGACTGAGGAATGTCAGTGAATATCAGTATAGTATAAAATGAAAAAAATGACCTGGAAAGTGTTGAATTGTTGTGTATGAGGGGAGGGTTGTTGGTTTTGTTTTTGTTTTTTTTTTGGGGGGGGTTATGGTGTGGTTTTTTGTGTTGTTGATTGTTTTGGGTTTTTTTTTTTGTTTACCCTGGGTACAAGAAACACATTGGTGCAGTTATATTTAAGTAGTTAACTGTATTTGACTATGATTATTATTTCTACTCTTTATATATATATAACATATTTAGTTATATGATTATTTCATCAGCATATATGTAATATAATTAAACTTCCTCTTTTTTCCCTTTTCATTTTTACATGACAAAACCAGTCCAAATTAATTCAGCCAGATGTGGATGCACTGAACACTGAGCTGATGGAATCCTCCCTGACAGACCTGTCCATGCTCAGCTTTTTTGAACATTTCCATATTTCTCCAATTAAGGTACGCAACAGAGAGATTTTTGGTTAATACAACACCTGCTATTAGTCAGCTCTTAATTCCTTATAGGAAATACATCCTGCTGGGGATTTTGTTCTCTGGAATTTAATACTTTGTTGGAAAACTTTGTCCCCCATGAGTACAAACAGACCCTTAACCATCCCAAAGTGGGAGAGTCAATGGGTGCAGTGATGATGACAGCCAGGGAAAATGTTGGCCTGAAGGTATCCCAGTAATGTATCAGAAATTGCTGTAAAATACACTTTCATGGGCTTGTCTTGGTGTCTCTCTTGAAGCAGTGAGATTTTTTGAAGGAGGAGAAGACAGACCATCAATAATTAGACATTATTCTGAATTAGCAGAATTCTCCTCTAAACCAATCAGATTGGAGAAGAATTTCGAGGGAAAAAGTTTACTTACTTTCCTTCCTTTTCACTGACCATGTTAAAGATTGATATGAACCCTAATTTCAGGGGTTTAGTTATTTCACTGGGTGTCTGTGAAGGTGCTCTTTGATTCTTGGATTATTTTTCTCGTGTGACTGTGCTTCTAAACTTAGAAGAGAATGTGAACCCAGGGAAAGCATTGGAGTAACAAGACATTTGTGATATTCAAACATTGTCCTCTGCCCAGCCTGGCTAAAGCTGTTGAAGAAACACTCAGAACTTTTAAGTTTCTCTTGCATCTTTATTTGAAATGTCAGACAAGCTGCTTGTTAAGCACAGGAAGGGGCTTCTTTTTCTCTCCTGTTTTTTCACCTAACTTCAGTAGACTCCTCTTGATATTTGGAACCACTGGCCAGTGGGAAGACTGAAACTGGGAGTCTTGAAATAGTCAAATCATGCAGGTTAAGTGCTGTGCCCTCTTGTGAGCAGAAGGGCCAATATTGGTTATGGGGATGAACAAGGGAAGAGGAGAATAGTTTTCTGTTGCCCTTTCCACTCTTAAGAAATGTGTGTGATTTTTTTTTGTCTGACCAACACTAAAAAACTTTTCTGTTTTACAGTGTCAAAGACAGTTCAAAGTTCATGTTTCCTCCAAAGAGTGCCTAGTTGCAAAAATACACAAGCTAGTAAAGTAAATCCATTTAAATTTTACTGAAGTAAATCAGTTTACATTTTAACTCATCGTTTGCACAGAGGTTTACTGTGTAAAATTAAACTTCTAGGGCAGTTGGACACTGCTCTGCATGGAAATATAAATACATACCTGTGTTAGTTTGATAATATATGTATCTATTTATAATAATACCAATGTAAGCACAAGCATGCTTGTTGAAATGCCACATTTTGCCAGAGAGTCCAAAAATATTTTCCACTCTTTCACCACTGATTTTTTTGCACATGCACCACACAGCCTGTCTACTGTGGTTTGGAAGTTTTTTTGGTCTTGATTTGTCTTGTTTTACTGATTTTATCTTGACAGCTGCATTTGAGTTTGTCTCTGGCTTCTGGTGGGGAAGCATCAGACAAGGGGGAGGTCATGATTGCCATCCACTCTCTGAACCTGCTGTTGAAAAGCATTGGAGCCACTCTGACAGACGTGGATGACGTGGTTTTCAAGTAAGATGATAAAACTGGTGGGGTTTTTAAAACTTTGACTAAAGCCACTCTACACTTACTGATTGGATCCGTGGTAACCTTTGCTGACTGACTCTGGTGTAAGTTTATACAACCTTGGGGAAAAGGGAGGAGTGGGGGATGAGGGGGTTTGGGATCCTTTTGATGAGGATTGGGCTTCAGGATTATCTGAGGGCACTGAAGGAGGAAGGGTCTCCATAACTCATGTGTGATTACTTGTCTTTCAGACTCGCTTTCTTTGAAATCAAATACCAGTTCTACAAGAGAGATCAACTGATGAAGAGAGTTGTGAGACATTACAGTGAACAGGTAATTTTTTAGTCAGGCATTTTGTAAAATGTTGAGTATGTGCTTCAGAGAATGTAGAAAATAGGAAAGAAAAGGTGAATACCTCTGAAAGCTACTAATTTTTTATTTCATGATACTGCAGTAGGGATCTGGTGACGCAATTATGAAAATGTAAACAGAGAAGTGTCCTTAAATGTTTTAAAATTTTTGAAATTGTTCCTTCTGTTCTTTTTATTTTTATGTTTCTTCAGTAATAGTATCTGTTAGTTATCTGTGCATATAGATTATGCATATTTGCCTAAGCCTGTCTTGACTCTAGTAGGAACATTTGAGTATTCTAACACCTTCCTTGAGTGGTAAATTACAAAGTGTACCAGCTTTGGTTTCTGACACGAATTGTGTGTAACAACAGCTCCTAACACTGCTTTTGGGTTCTGCCTTTTTTCTCCCCTCATTATTTAGTTCCTGAAACAGATGTATGTCCTTGTGCTTGGATTAGATGTTCTTGGAAACCCATTTGGCCTGATCAGAGGCTTGTCTGAGGGAGTGGAAGCTTTCTTTTATGAGCCATTCCAGGTATGAGTCCCTGATCCTGTGACTGTGTTTAGAGCAGGCTGATGGAATACACTGGGAGGGCTGCAGTGTTGTGGTCACTGTAATCCATGCCCTGAACAGGTCGGAAAGCAGTAAATTTTTAATGTTAATTTTAAAGAAATAACTTATTCAGATGGCCTTACTTGCATCAGTCTGAAGGAATTGCTAGTTATTCTTGAAACAGATGCACCAATGCAGAGTTCTGTGCTGTTTCTAATAAACCTCATTTTCAGGGTGCTGTTCAAGGACCTGAAGAATTTGCTGAAGGCTTTGTAATTGGTGTTAGGAGTCTCCTTGGCCACACAGTGGGTATGTGCCACATGTTACTGCTGTGATAAATACCTGGGTGGTGTTTCACTGATGAGTATTTAAGTTTGTCACACTGTTGGCGGTATTTGTGATGCAGATCATTCACACCTAATTTACCACAGACCATCCAAATGTCTGCTCTGTAGACTGAGCAACCGAACTGAGAAACATTGAATATGTAACTGAATTAGTAACATGCTGTGCATGAATAAGAAACAGAATTCTAATGGACCTGAAATGTCTGGAGGAGCCTGAGAGGTGTTATTTAGACAGCTCCTGTTACAATTACCTTAGGATTTTATTTAGCTGTGTCTCACAGCAATTAGAGAGAATATTATGTCATTCAGTATGCTATATATAGAACATGTAGTGATGTAAGAGTTCCTTTTCTCTGTGTGTATGGACATTCTGGATTGTTCTCATGGCCAACCTGTGGGCTCTGCTCTGTGTAAATTCATCCAATCTAAACTGATTATGAGGGGGATTCGCTGTGAATTATTGTGTGTTGTCTGCTGTTGAGCTGTGCAAGAACCCCTTTTATCTGCCCTGTTCCCCCAGGTGGTGCAGCAGGGGTGGTGTCCCGGATCACTGGCACTGTGGGAAAAGGCCTGGCTGCCATCACTCTGGATGAAGAATTCCAGCAGAAAAGGAGAGAGGAAATGGGTCGGCAGCCAAAGGACTTCGGGGAGAGCCTGGCCAAGGGAGGGAAGGGCTTGTTACGGGTAAGAGCTTGGGGAGGAGTGTGTGGTGTGCCCACTGCAAATCCAGGCTGCAGAGCTACACACAAGGAAGCCTGGTGCTTTCTCTGTCAGCTCATGAGCTGAGCAGGAGACACAAACAGGCACTCATACACACGAACGTAGCGCTCAGGGTGGGGTTTGAGCTCTTGGTTCTGGTGCCAGGAACTGAAGTTAAGGTCCTGGAAAGGGAAAATGTACCAAGTGACATGATTGCTGCTGTCAATTAAATTAATAAACAAACACATTCAACCAGTGTGTGAGGTAAGTAAAGTAACCAGGCCCTTACCTGACCTTGCAGTCAATTCTGTCAGTCAAGGCAGCTGGCTGTGAATTGTGAGCTCTGCTGCATAGCGGAAATGACTTTCTCTGTGCTGAGGTCTTACAAAACTGCTGGGTTTTTTGGTTCTAAGGAGTGGGAGCATAAAGCAAGTAGAATATGTATAAAAGGAAGTACATTAGGTTGGAGATGCTTTTTTCTGAAAGAGAAGCTGTGCAACCACTGTATTTTTTTGGTAATCTAAAATTGGGAGTCTCTTCTGGTTGCTGGAAGGTCACATCTATTTCTGTACATGAGAAAAACCTGACATAAACCATGACTGAGGGGTCTGTAGTACATGCCTGCAGATTAAGTCTTCTAATAATTTCCATCACACTCCATTCAAAATAAAAACAGTCAACGTATTTCTAAGTAATTATTAAATAGTAAACATTATGGAGTTGATTCTGATACTGTTTCTAAGATATAGGAAGTTATCTCAGGGCATTTTCATTCATCTGCCTTAGTGTCTTTCAACGACTCAACCTTTCAAGTCTCTTGGAGAGTTATTTGCTGTTAATTTACCTTGCCCTAATTGCTATCACTTACTCATGACTGGGAATTCTGGCAGCTTCCTGTTAGTAGTGAAAGGGAAATAATGACTGAATTGTTGCAGGACTGGTGATGACTGTACAGCAGATTTATTAGTCCTGCCAGCACACTGGACTGAATGCTCGAACTGGACTCAGAGCATTCCAGTTCCTGAGTGGGAACTTTATTCTCTTCTTTGTTTTAGGGGGTCGTTGGAGGTGTCACAGGCATCATCACCAAACCAGTAGAAGGTAAGCACTAGGGCTGCACTGCACTGCACTCCTTCACAATTTATTTTGTAATTTTAAGAAATATCAATCTAAGTGTGGTGATGCTAAGGCATAGCAAGATTTTTATTTGTAATCATATGATGATTTCTTCAAATATCTTTAGTATTGACTTTGGTCTGTAGTCCTTGTCTCATTGGTGCATGAACACACATGCTCTCTCCAAACACTCTTTTGGCTGTTCCATAGTTATGTGTCAGCAGATACATGTCATTTTCAGATAGCAGTAGTTCTCTTCCCTGACTTTTGTGCCTCTGAGTGTCTTCAGAATATTTGTTCTTGCTGTCAGCCTTAAGAGCTGCTCCACTGGCCACACTGAACGTGTGAGCAGGAGAGTCTTGTGAACACTCAGTTCTGCTGCCTTTGGAGCCTGGTGAGGTATAAAGTGAACAGTGATGTGTCTGAACAGACCAGGAATCAACGTGTGCCTTTCCCTGGACAGCTTTTTGTCGGGGTGGATTGGATGGAATCAGTGGCTGTGTGGGCTGTTTCCATCCAAACCACTCCTGGTGCAACCTGGAGCAGCAATGATTTCATTCTGTGCTTTATGTCTTTAAGGTCACTAAAACTACTGCTTTTTTTGTTCCCTTTCTTCTAAAGGGGCTAAAAAAGAAGGAGCAGCTGGATTCTTCAAGGGCATTGGGAAGGGGCTGGTGGGAGTGGTGGCCCGGCCCACGGGAGGCATCGTGGACATGGCCAGCAGCACCTTCCAGGGCATCCAGAGGTACAGGGCTCACACTTCTCCCAGGGGGTGAAGGGGTCCAGAGTGCCAGACGATGATTTGTGTTGAGTACAATAAGAAGGATGATTTGGGAGGTTGAGAAATGTCTTGTAGCCTGTAATGAATGTCTTCCATAATGATCTGGAAATGGCTGCTTCGGTGTTGTAGTTCAGGTAGACAGTAACTAATCAATTTTCTTCCTTCACTCCCTCCCCTGATGGGAAAGGAATTTAAAGATCTTGTGTAAATTCTACTTTAGAGGTAGGTTTGGGTATTATTGAGTGCAAATACCTAAATGTCATTTAAACTTACTGTAAAAAATTAGACCACTGAAATTTTCAGAGTAAAAATACCCAGTTAGAAATTTGGTCAGCAGGAACTTCTTGTGTTTTAAGGGACCTTTGGGTAGTGTGTTTATTATACTTGGGAACCCTCAGTAAATTATCTGCAGTTGGGAGTAAACTTCTCCAACTCATTCCGTAGCTGTTTAATTGGCTGATGCTACTTTTGATTTACTATCAGCAGTGTGTCTTTGCATCTGGAGGGTACCCAGGAAGTGCCAGTGGGATATTTTACAGCTGATATATTGGTTGAACTCAGGAATGGTTCAGTTTACCAGAACACTGTTGCACTGTCCGTGGCAGGGTGGCAGAGTCGACTGAAGAGGTGTCCAATCTGCGTCCCCCCCGGCTCATCCGCGAGGATGGCATCATCCGGCCCTACAACAGGGTGGAAGCTGAGGGCTATGACCTGTTTGAGGTGAGTCTGGCACTGTAGATACAGCTCAAACCCTCTCACCTTCAGGGCTCCAGAAAGAGGAGTTGTGAACAGGCTGCCAGGGATGTGTGGCTGCCATTACCTGCAGTAAATGTTTGCCCCAGCCTATTCCGTGGGGCAAACCTGGAGAGCAGGGAAAGCCCAGAGCTTGGAGTAAGCTGGATGCGAAAAACTGCAGCATTGCTGGTCTGTGGTCTGTCATCACTCACCTCGTGCTCTGGGAGTGGGTAGAAGGATGAAGAATTATTAGGATTAATATTTGAATATCTGGAAACAAAAACGTTCCGATACTCAGTTCTAATTTCTGTCATAATAACAAAACTGAGGTTGGTTTACAAACTAAGCAACTTTTAAAAAAGATTAATAGAGCTTGAATGGTTTGGTCGTATCAGCAGTTGAAAAAACTGCCTGAATTCTCAAAATACCACTTTTTGGTTTTTCCTTATGCTGTTCATAATAGCAATCTGTCATAGCTACAGGCATTGTGGGGATGTTTAGCCTGCTCCCTCACATGGATGTGGCTGGCATATGGAGGAGGAACAACATTAGTTTTCAAGTCCTGGATAGTCAGAATCTGGTTAATTTGTATTTCAGGCTTCATGCTTTTAAAACTTACCTTAAAATGCTTATTTTGTTGCTAAAAGAGTAAAATAACTGTCTGCATTAACATAGTAAGACCAGAACTTGCATATTTGCTGCTTGCTTCTAGATGGTCTTTTAATCTTTATTTCCTGCTCTATTTCTAATGTTTCTTTTCTTTCTCCTTCTCTCCTGGCACACGCAGCAAGAACTGGACTAATGGAGTAAACATTTTCCATATTTCTCTTCTATTTCTGTCACGGTCTTTTATCTGCCTTAAATACTTAGATGAGGGGCATGATTGCATTTAACATGTCCTTTCCATTCATATCTCTTCTGTGTAGCAGTTGAATAAAACAGTGTTTCATGTTGTCTGGGCTAAGAAAACCAACTTGAATTACCATCTGCAGTAAGATGAGATGAGTGAGTAAGATGGGAGAGCCAGGCAGGGGTTGTCCCTGTATATTTGTTTTTCTAAGGATGCTTCGCTCCTTAGGAATGGCAACAACAGAAGGCACTTGGAAAAAAACCTGTGGTGGGTTAGATCCTGAGTTCATTTATTTATTTACTTATTTTTTTATCAGCATCCTGGTAGAGCCAGGGCTGTGGAATGATGCAGAAAGCGCCGTTTTGTGCAAAATGTAAACCAGTGCCATCGAATGGAATTCACTTCTGGGAGAGTGCTCGTAATTCCATCAGCTGTTTGCATGTCAATGCTGGGACAGCCCGTACCTGTGGTGTCTGTGCTGTGCCAGGGGCCTGTCAGCCTTACAGCCCAGCACCCACCATGCCTTCAGTTACCATTGCTGCTGCTTCATCAACATTCTCAATTAAACATCCAGCAGCTGAGTGCACTCTGGGTTTCATTCACAGCATCTTTGGGGGGTTTGCTGTTCACCAGAATTAAAGAAGTGTAAACTTGCAGCTTTCAACAGCAACTTACACGCACACATACACAGATATATTTCAAAAAAATAAATATATATATATATAAAATATATATTTATCTGTTTCTAAGTGAAGCGGTGCCATAAATTTCATTACTAATAAGCATCTTAGGAATGAGCAAGCTAAGCTCAACAAGCTGTTGTCAGAGCAAATTTTTTGCCTGTCAGAGGGGGAAAAAGGTTGAACAGAAACGTCTCTGCCACCAATGCCTTTTTAGTGTTGAGTGATCAATTTAAAATGACTTAAAAAAACATTTAGTGATTTTTTGTTGTTGTTGTTAACTGATTAAGTCTAATTAAGTTGTGATATACTGAGCAGGTCACATTTTGTCTTCTTGAGTGTTTTTTTTATTTTTTTCACTATATTTTTTACATCTAGAAAAAGGGGAAATGTGGCACAATTAACACTGAAAACTGGGTGTTATAAACTGCATATTTTGCATTTCCTGCACATCTGGTATTTGTATTTTTCTTAGATCTAAATGGTGCAGATTGGAATTGTGAACTAACCAGGATACTAACTCTGTGTAGTTGACTAAATATAGTTTGTTTCTCTCAAGAAGTCACTTAGTTGAATACAGGGATTTTGTTAATTAATTATTTTGATTATTTCAATTATTTAATTATTTTAATTGGTTATTATGCCAGAGGTGAGTGCTGGGAAGGTTTTGTTTTCTAAGTTGGTAAATTAGAAGCAAGAGGGGACATTTAACAGAAAGATGGGTCAGCAAGTCAGTTCTATGTGCATTTCTGAATTTAATCACAATGGGTGCAAGTGCTGTTTATTTTTGGATGCAGTTTTGATGCTGTTACAAGTAGCTTAACCAGAATCCCCCCCCTCTCATCTATTTTAACTCCATCTAATGCCTGTGTCCCTGTAAAATAAACACGTTTCCAGGGCTGAAGCCTTGCAAGGTTACCTGAAGGAATGGATGCCTCAATCCGGTGACTGGATGAAAAATTGCTTAATTTCAATAGTTGTGTGTGAAATAGAGACACTGGTAGGCATTGGAGCTTGTCCTGGGAGGAGCTGCTTCAAAGACAAGTTGCTTTTTTCCCCCTGGTAAGCGGGTTTTGAGGTGCAGAATGAGGACAGGAGCCAGGTGGAGTAGAGGGGGCTCAGGTTTGGAAAGTTGTTTCCGCAGTTCCTTTTCCCGGGAGTGCTGATCTGATGGCTGTGGGCTGGGCAGGGACGCGCTCAGTCCATGCAGGGCCTGGCAGGTCCCACTGACACCCCATGCACTCCGTCATCGTGCAGTGCCCGAGCAGGACCTGCTTCCATCTCCCAGCTAAGGATGGAGCTTTACAAAGAATGCACAACAACAGCTCCTGAATAATTGAGGCAGGGTGGTGAGGCTGCTGTGTGGCAGAGAGAGAGCACAGGCTGTGCAGGGAACTGCAGGTTCTATTTCTGGTTGCCTCCCTGTTCTGCTGGGGAAATCTGCACTGGTTCTTTCACTTCCCTGTCAAATAAGAAGGAGTTAACTTCTTCAAAGTGCTCACAAAGAGAACGGCTTTGGAGAAAGGTATCTGAATTTTCAGAGTTTGCAGATCATGGAGTGGTTTCCATCCTGTGCAACCCCCTTGTTCCACAGCGGCACCACCACTGTGCTGGCGTCTCTCAGGTGGATTGGGAATAGCTCTGGGAATTCCTGCGTCTTGCAGGCACAGCCCTCAGAGGGAACTCTACCTTGACAAACATATTGCATGGAGAGGCTAAAAATACTGCCAGGACTGTCTCTGAAGTGATGAGAAACAGCCTTGCTCTGCAAAGCTCTGAGCCTGAACAGAGAAACATGCTTATGAATAAATCTCTTTAAATATGTGGCATGTCTCATTTCTTCATCTCCAACAAAAGGCTTTAGAGTGTGGATTGCAGCCTTGGAGTTGCAGTCTCCACATGCTGGTGGGTTTTACTATTTCTTAAATCTTTCACTTGTTTTTGAAACCGCTGTGGTTCAGGTGTAAAATGGGAGTTCGTATTTTCATTTTAGTAATGTCCTGCCATCTTTGTTCTAATGTTTTGAAGACACTTTGAGATAAGGAGTCTTGCTGGCATTTTTTTTTTTTCCTTTCACGTGCACTGTGCAGTTTCAGAAATTTTTAAGATGGTCAGAAAGGGATATTTTTTTATAGAAGGTATCAAGCCTATGGTTTTAATCGCTGAAAAAATGCTGAATTAAAATGTCTTTCAAAACTTCGCATCGCTAGAGAGCAAGTCCAGGAAAACACTATGCTGTTGATTGCAGTCTTGAATATTCATCTACTTTTGGGCTTAAAGGATTTTTGGGTCATTTGTGATATATGACGATGCTTTAAGACTTTTGTTGAACTTGTAGATATATGAAAATAAAATGCAGATATAAATAAATGGTGAATCCTCTTTTAATTGAATCTTATGTAAGCTGATCTTTCAATTTTGGTTACTCAAACTACACAGAGTTCTTAGCCTGTATGGTTGACCACGGATAAATGTGGAGTCAAGTGGAACTTGTGTTGCCATCTTACCAGTTAATGGGGTCCAACTGTGGAAATACAGAAGGAGATTTATGTTTACACGAAATAACTAAAAGCACCCTCAGTTTTTAGTCCTTTCTCTTCAGTTTGTCCTTCCTAGTCTGTCAGAAACAACTCGAGGCTATTACTGTTATACAGAGGTGCGGGTCTTGTGCATCCAGGCTTTGTTCCCTGTGTGCCCTCGTGTCCTGCACAGGAGCTGCACGTTTCCTGTCTGAGGAGACGGGTGGCTGTGCTGACCTGCAGGGTACAAAGCTAACGTGCATTGATATTATGCCTGTGGGACTACCTTGCTAATTTTTACTGATTAAACATTATTTGCAAGTGGAATGTGCGTTTGGTAAAGATTTTTTTGCATGTGAAGAGGGCCAGTAGTTGGCACAGATTTCTTCTCATACTCACTTTGAGGCTGGGTTTTATTATTATTATTATTAATTTCATACTTTTGTCTTTCTCCACACGATGTTTTGATGTGTATTCCTTTCCCACAAATACATTCATGTGTCTCTGTGTGAATCTTGTTGCCTTTAATCCAATATTATTGTAAATCTCATTGTAGGGGTGACTGTGAAACTGCTCTGTGCTGGTCTGTGTTGATGGAATGTAAACCTGGTGACATGTGCTCAGAAACATTACACTTAGTTAAACTGCATGAACAGAATAGGAAATATAGAAAAAAATTTAATAACTGCCAAAAAAAATCCTAGGGGTACTTCAGTACTTGATCTCAAACCTTTCTCTATAGTCAGAGTTTGTCACTTGAGTTGAAGTTGCCTAACCAAAACATGGTGAGTAATTTAATCTGCACTTCTATCTCCCCTTCCTGTTTTGGATGTTGAATAGGCACATGTGTCCAGTGCTCCAGAACCTGGGCTGGGGGTGCACTGACAGTTTGTATCTTGGTAGTTTCTAAGGGCCTGGGTCATGTGCTGCCTCCTTTGAAAGGTCCTGCTGCAGGATTTTCCCTCTGGAGTGCAGTCTGCAGCGTGGGGCGCAGCAGAATGAACATGGCTGAGCAATTATTAGCACAGAAAGAAATTGAAGCTGAAGAAATAGTCTGATCCTGCAGTGCCAGTGTTCCACCTGGGAGTGAACAGAGCAGACCTCTCAGTGACTCACTGACAGCCTGCCTTTAACAACTGGTGCAGTGAGGTGACACTTTTGGAAAGGCTTTGGAACTGAAGGCACCACTTTGAATTGTCTTTGCACAGCCCCAAAGTGATTTCTGTTTCTGTTCCAGAAATTGCACATCAAAAAGCTGGAAAAGGAGATGTATCGGTACCACTGTGCACTTCCAAGGGGCAGGAGAGCAAACCTTGTCGTCACCAACAGGTACTCAGCTTTGAAGGGCTTGGCATGATTCCAGCTTGGGGATTCAACATCTGGCTGAGTCCAAACTGATTGCTGTTCTCTGCATATGTACTTTCCCCATCTACTTCTTTCTTGATTTTTAAAGTATTTTATTCTGTTTCCTTTACGGCAAATGTAATCTAGTTATGATGTCAGTGCTGGGTTCTAATTTGGGAAAACAGTTTACTCTGAGATCAGTGATGCTTTCATCATACTGGGAGGGAAATATTCTTTTTTTTTTCTCTTTGCTTTTAATTTTTCAAATTACCTTGTGATAAGAGTTTGACAATGCTCACGTTTGCAATCTTGTTAATTACAGGATATTCTAAATGAACTTTTAAGCTTTGGTAGCAGCATGAAAATTAATATTTAACTCACCAGACAATTTTTAAAATTCATGGTATTGCCAGTCTCGGCTACACAGTTTGGGGACTCAAAACTTTCTAAATACATTTGGATGATGGGAAAGGGTCCCCTGCTTGGCCTTGCTGTGCTGGCTGACCCTGCAGCCCTGGAGCAGTTGTGTCCCTGTGGAGCTGTGTGAGTGCCTTCACCTGCTGGAGTCTGGCTTGGAGGGGCTGCTTGGAATCACCTGATGACCTCCTAGCATCCAGTTCTAGTGACATGTGTGGAGGTCTGGGTGGGTTGTGATTAACTGGGCTGCCCATGCTCTGTGATACTGCAGATCAGCTCAGGGTTCTACAGACACAGTGACTGTCTGAGAACATATTAAGGAAATACAGGCCTGCTGTGAGTGGATACTTTTAATCATCCCAGACAATGCCTTCTTAAACAAACGTTTTGTTTTGCCTTTCCAGCGAAGTTCGAGTCCCAGGGAGAAATTGAGTATTAACTCTTGTTTCTGTGAACAGGAGAGTGATTTATGTGAAAGAAGTGGAAATCTTGGGCCATTTAACAGTAGAGTGGGATCACTTATTTGAAGAATTTACACGCTGCCCTTCCTATGCAGGAAATACTTTAAAATTAACTGTTCTGGTAAGAAAAGCACGTAAAGTTCCTTCTATTTAACACTAATTAGACATCCAAACATGCTCTTAACTTATTTGTGGTTCTAACTTCTAACTAAGTGACTGTCTGACAGGATTTATATAAAATTTCTTGAAAGTACAGGTTGGGTTGGACAGAGACCACGTTTAAATCTAACCTGAAGTTGACATTCGAACCATTTAAGTATCAGATGGTGCATTCTTGTTTTGTGAGTCATCTGAAGCACTTTTTTGTTCCCCTCTGCAGCAGGATCAAAGGATGTTCCAAAGAAAGGACAGTACAGGTCAGGAATGTGTAAAGACAGTTCAGCTTCAGGACGAAACCACAGCAAGGGTATATTATTTTTTTTTTCCCCCCATTCTTCTTCTTTCCTTGTGATGTTGTTAACAGTTATTGAACTCAGCATGTAAAGAGATGGGCAATGTTGAGAGACCCGTTATAGACTGGGCTGCCGTGCCTGAGGACCATTTCTCCCAGTTTCAGGTTGAAAAAGGAGTTACACCAGGAGAATGATGAGGCAAGATAGGCCAAGGCATTCAAGAGAGTTTATGCAATAATAGTTTAAGGGGGAACTTGCACACTCTTGGGTTTTGTACGTTAAAGCTCATTAAAGGAAAATATTTCCAGTATCTACAGTACTAGTTTTACTTTTATTGAAATTATGGATTAAAAAAAGCCCTCACAAGCTTTCCAAACACTCCAGCTTTTGCTAAATCCTGGAATTACTCAGGAGGAATCAGAGTGGCCATCTGAGCTGCCCCAGGGCATGGTTTGGTTTGGTTCCCCCCCCCTCCTTGGCATTTACATGTTACACTGACATTAATTTTCTCAGACTAGAGGTACATTAATGTTATGTATACACATTTTATGCATAATGCACAATGTGTTTAATGTTAGGCAGTTGAGACATGGGGTTTTTAACTAATTGGTTGTATTCAGGAATTCAGTAAAAATGGCTGGTTCAGTTGCAGTGCTTTGTTAAATTGTTTTAATTGTAGAACTATTGTTAGGTTCTATTTTAATTCCTCCCTTTCTGGATTTCAACTAACTATCCAGTTTTTCATTGTAAATATTATCAGAAGTGCCTCCTGTCATTTAGAACTGGTTTTTTAATTGCTGTGAATTATTCTCTGAGGTTTATAGGTAATGCAAACCTCCTGCTTGTTTGGCCTGAACAGAGTCCTGTCCTGGAGCTCTTTGCCTCAGACTGAATGTAATAGTGGGAGGCTCTCAGTGGTTTTCTATCCACTTTAGAACCCTAAAAATGGATTAATTTAACCTGATAGTATATTTTCCTCAAAAAGCCTTATTGTTATGGCATTCAGACTTTTGCTAAAAACAATGTGTAACCACAGGAACAGAGCAAATCAAAACCTGAAGTGTCAATTAATGGCTCCAGTAGGTTGCAGTACCTGGTCGGTATATTTATTTCTATTAGCAAGGTGTACCTAATTGTGAATAACATCATTAATGGTACTAGAAAATCCCCAGTGGATTGACAGTGTTTCTTGTTGTTTTCCAGTGGATTTGTGGTGCCATTCAGGAAGCCCAGGCAACGAGAAATCAGCAGAAGCTGGTGAAAAGAGCATCGTTGCAGTTGAAGAAACCACAAATGCCTTGATAATGGTAGGATTGGTGGGGTCTGACCTTTGGGGTGCGATTGTCTCCCTAAAATTGATTAGAAGCAACATGGAAACGTTGGGCAAAAATAAAGATAAAATGCCTGGGGTCTTCTTTCAGAGTTAACAGCCATTAATTAACACTTCAGTTTCAGAAGCTGTGCCTCTGTGGGAACCAATGGATTTCCTTATTCTAAAATGTGCACTGAAGTGCAAGATTTAGGATTTTTGATCAGAAGGTTTTCCACTCTGAAATTTTATTTTCTGCCCTCTTTTTTATGTCAGGGAAATGGATTCTGTAATAAAGTGGTTATCTTATTTGCACTATAAGTTTATGGTTTACAGGCAGGTTGTAGTACTTGTGGTTCTGGTGTTTGGCAAAATGAAGTACTTCTGTTAATGACTGAAACTAATTAAAAAATCCTTCTATTTTAGGCAACATTCTCCTTAAATTAAGAAAGAAGTGTGCACAATTTCCCTACTATAATTTCCTCCCTGTCTGTTTAGCATTAGAAAATGCTGCACTGGGGCAACATAAGAATGAGAATATATGAGAGGAATAGGCTCTTGCTGTCTGGAAATGCTTACTTGGGAATGCTGTCACACTGTAAATGAAAACATGCACTTTAAAAATGGAAATTCTCTTCACTGTCCCGTGCATGTCCATGCCTTTGGTTGTGTCACTGGAGCCTAAAGACTCCTCTAGGAGGAACAGCACGCTGGCTTTGCCACTGCATGGCCAAGCTCAGATCCAAGTCCTGAGCTTCCCTCTTCCACCCCACGGGAAGAGTGGATCTCGTGGAGTTCAAACTCACTTCTGACACAACGCTTTGGCTGCAGTTTCTCTTCCTGAGCACTGTTAGCATTCAGGTATTTAAACACCAAGTACATGCCTGGTTCTTACTGCTCTGAATAACCCCAGGAGCTTCACTGAGACCAGTTCCATTCTTCACACGAGGCACAAACAGCAGTGACTGAGAAAGCAGGTTTGGAGTTGAGTGTCAGAGAACTAAGGACTCCTGCTCTCAGGCTCTTCAATAAGATAATCAGTGTCCTTGAGAATACTTACTCATGAAAATTTACCCTTTCTTCACTTGGGAAGAGTAATTTCTGGGGTGTTTAATTTCATTTTGTACTGGATAATAGCTATATATATATGAATTGATAAATCCAAATGACAATATTTTTGCATAGATCTGTTCAGTAAGTGGAGCAAACAGGAGAACCAGGCCTGGATTTTCAAACTCTCTTTATACTTAAGGGCTGGTGGATTCTCTAAATGCACTTTTAACCTGTACCTGTGAGCTCACCATAGTTAGAAAGCTGAAGGCATTTTTAAGCTGCCAGACACAGAACTCTTAGGGAGCGTTGCAGACATGATTTTATTGCTGTTGTATGCACATGGCTATTCATCCAGCTCGCTACAAGATAAAAAAAAACATGGTACAGCCTTTAATTCTGTGCTATCACCTGTTTTCTACAAAGCTCTGCTCAACCATTAAATAAATTACCTGTCTGGGTTGTATGTATTTCAAGCCCATGTATAAAAGAAAGACAATAAATTTTTATATGCAAGTGTTTGTGCTCTGATTTGAAGTGTGGTTGCTTCTCCAGTGTGTGAAATGCTGTTGGTTTGCCAGGTCCCTGACCCCCTGGAGGAACAGCTGGAGTCCCAGGGTACTGAGGAGAGCTTTGGACAGCTCAGCACTGCTTGTTCTCTGGCATCTCAGGGACACCTGTGTGTGTGCTGCCTCCTCACTCACACTGGAAAAGAGATTTCACTTTAGCCTGTGCATGTCTAGGCACTACCATGGGCCTGTTTTTAGGTGGAGAATTGGAGCTTAAAACAGTTCTGGAGACACCTTTCTGACTCCAAGGTTCTGCTTGGTTCAGTTTCTTTGGTAAACTTTCCGGCTTGAATTGTTTTATTTTCTAACTTTCTGTGATTAGGTACAAAGAAGTCACTTCCCCTTGAAAACAGTCTGAAGAAGCAGTAGTTCTGTTCTGAAATGCATTCTTTGCAGTGTGGGTTGCTGCCTGAGCTTGACCTGGTGGATGAGCCCCAGCTGAGGTGATGGGTGACCTCCTTTAGCACTTGGATCAAGCACTCAGGAGGACATGAGAGAGGAACCCCATTTCTTGCTGAAGTTTGGCACCAGTAGGTTTCCAGTGCTTGCCCTGTGCTTTCCTCAGGTGTTCCATTCCATTTTACCTCGTGTCTTTCTGCCTTTGCTTCTTGTTTTGAAGCAGCTTTCGGCACAGCTGCCTCCTCTGCAGCTGCAACAACTCCTGGCTCTGCTGAGGCTTTGCTCTCTGGCTTTTTTCCCTGTTCCTTGTCCATTCTCTTCCTTAAGCTGGTCTATTTTCTTGGAGTGCTGGCTGAGGGAGTTAAGGGACAGGGAGAGTCTCTTGGCTGCTCCTTGACTGGATGTCCAGCAGAAGAACCACTGAGAATTAAATCCTGTTTAGATGATCTGGAGGGGGGAAGAGGGTAAGAGTGTGTATTCAGTCAATCTTGAGTGATTAATTTCAGCCAGGTGCTACGATGCAAAGTGAAGAGATTTTTCAAGGATTTTACCTTTATTTTTTTTTTTAATTCTTCTTTCTTTCTTTCTTTCTTTTTCCTTTTCTGTCTGCCACCGGAGTGTTTTTCCACACCTTTCAGATTTCAGATTTTGTGCTTCCCTGAAGCTCTGGGGTTTTTCAGTATTACTGAGCACACCAAGCTGGCCAAACCGTTGAGATCTTCCTGCCTTACCATGAGCTCCCAGAAGTTTTTGCTGTCTCAAAAGCCACGTTTTACTGAATATTAACACACTAAAATTAGTGTTAATTAGAACTCTAAGCAAATAGGTCAGGCCTGGGTCCTTGCTTTGCTTCAGTTGCTCCCTTGCTTTCTGGATCATCCCAGGTTTCTCCAGCTCTTCAGCAGCATTTCTTGTTGCAAGGTGTGGGTGAATGTTGAATCCTTGGGGCTGTTTTCTCAGGCTTTTGCTGGAGCTGCAAACTTGGCCCTCCTTTCTGAAACTTTCCCATCCTTGCTCCAAAGATGAAGAACATTCTACCCTTCCTCAGTGGAGATCTCACCAGTAACCCTTTACAAGGACACTAGCAGAAAAACTGTAATACAATCAAACTGTACATTGAAAAACATGTTAGTGTGCTTTGTTTTTAGAACTATTAAATGCTTTAAAATAAAGACACTGATGAGAACTTTTGAAGTAGCTAATGGACATGGTTCTTCACAGGATGGTGCTATCAGTGCCACTTTCCTTAAGGAGCTTTTTATTTTGATGATTTTCGCTGGATTTCTGCCCAGTCTGGAGAAATATAAATCTTCACATGCTGAAATGTTGTATTTTGAAAATGTAATCGAGTTCTTTACTAATTCTTTACATGAGTTCGGTCCATTTCTCTGTTAATGTTTAAAGGGATTTTTTAGGATCTCTTTCAATGGAAATTATCGTTGGATTTTATTTGGATTTTTTCCTCTTAAAATGGCCCTGTGTTTGTTGACTACCACCAGTCATTCTCTACTGAATTACAATAAGCCACTCACTTAAAACTACTGAAACAGTGAAATTTTAAGGGAACAAGTGGCATCACCAGCCACCTGCAGCTGAAGAAGGTGGGACTGTGCAGTGTCAGGACAGATCTTCCCAGCCCAGCTGTTCTGGTGTCTGGCTCAGGGAGACATCTGAAGAACCTCCCTGTCCCCCCAAAACCACAGGAGAACACCCAAAAGAGGAGATTCTGTGTTTTGTGCATCAGAACAACATCCCACCTTTCACCAGCACCTTTAGCCACTTTCTCAGTGTGCAGAGTGGGGAAGGTTGGGTGGTTTATTGTGGGCACAGAACAGGGAGTGTTTTAGTAGTAAGAGTAAATAATTTTAGAAGGGATTAATTGTGAAGTTGAAGGAGGAGATCAATTAGGTAATTCAGCTTAACAATCAGGGCCCCAATATTCTTTTTTCAGTGCTGGCAGTAAATAAGCTTTGCTGTGGTAGAGTAACACAGTGATCACAGTAGGTATATCCTCATTTTGGGTTTGGGTTGACAATAAGGATTACTTATATAAGGGTATCCTGGGTCACTCAGAGTTTTTAAAAATAAAATAAAAAGGATTGAATTTTAAAAGTGTAAACTGACTTGTGAAACCTTTTGAAACCAGCATCTGTTGACAAAATAATTCTTTCAACAGCTTATAAAGTCACATGTAGTGAAACCTGAGTGTGAAGACTTAATTTGGAATAGATGCCAGTGGACTGACCACTTCAAGAGGAGGTTTAATATAAGAAACAAGTGGAGGGATTTGAGAATCAACATGCACAACCTCAAATGCCTTTGGAAAAGTCAAAGCTTTAATCTCTTTAGTAGAATTTCCTGGACAAAGGTAGGCTTTGGAGGGAGAGGGCAGTTCCCCCTTAGACATCTAGTTGTAAAATAAAATTTGTTAAGGTATATGAAGATTCTTTAGTAAACTAATGATCCTAATGCAGTTCCCTCCCTTGGATTATGGCTCTCATTTACATAATCACTAAGTAACAGTGATGCAAATAACACAGATCTCCAGACCTGAGCATTTATTATCTCTGTGCTGCCATTTGCTCCCGTTTGGAATTGTTCAAGGTATTTGTCAGCAGCTGTAGTGGGAGTTTAGTCCAGTCACCTCAGCTGTGTGGGGGGGAAGAGCTGAACTATGAAAGGAGAAACAACTCTAGCAAGGAAAAAATTGGCTTATTGGAAGTGTGAATTTAAAACTCGATTCAGTTCGTTGTATCCTCACCCTTCCTGTAGGTCAACAAGTAAAAAATATTTGGGGGGTCAAGGGAGAGGGGAGGAACCCCCTGATATTCACGTGGTAGGTTGGGAGCGAAGGAAGGTGAAAGCAAGGTGGTGACAAATCTATCAAATGGTCAAAAAAACTGAGTAAAAAGCTAAGTTGGTACCTGCTACAAATTGCCTTGACATCAGTAATTGGGAAAATATCTAGTTCTGAAGACAATCTGCAGTACTTGAACACAGCAACTGTGTTGGATTTCAGCAAGGGAGAGAAATGTTTGTTTGGATTTCAGTCAGAGAGGCAGAGCCTTTCCCAGACACTGTCCTGGAGCCAGCAGATGGAATACTGGAGATGCTCTGTGTTGGTGAAATGACCCCCCTCCAGTTCCTGTGGTGATCCCGTGTGTGTTCCTGGACCTGCTGTGGATCAGAGGTGAGTGCAGCAGAGATGTGGAGTCTGTGGAACACCCACCCAAAGCAAGACTTGACAAAGAGGGAAGGTGCTTTTATCCTCTAACGAGGGAGCTGCTCGGGATTCCAGACGTGTCCCCATCAGGTAAGACTTGCTTTCCTCTCTCAGGCAATCAAAGCTCTGTAGGTAAATCACTGAGCTCTGCAGGTGCTGATAAATGTGGCCCTGAACCTGCCCTTGGCTCGGTTGATGCATGAGGACTGTGGTGTGCTTATAAAGCTTCCTCTGGCATTTGTCATCCTCACCTCTGGCTGTGCTTTCCCTTTCCCTGTGGGAGAGGAATTTACCCTTGACTGTTCCAGACCTGTGGCATTAGGCTGTACGGAGTCCAGAAAAGATTCCTGCAGCTGATCCCATAGAATTGTTGCAGGTTAATTAACAGTAAAAGCAGCACAAAGGTATATTATCAA